CATTGTTTAACTCTGAAGGCAATCATATCTCCAGGCAGTTCAAGTCCCCTCCTTTTCACCCGCTGTGTGTCCCTCATATCAGGTATTGGAGTCTGTGCAGTTTTATCAGCTGTGCAATATTTACCAGACAAGGGGCAGACATTTCTTCCATTTTTAAAGTGATTTCCTTTAGATAGAGAGTTTGACAGTATCCTAACAGTCTGCTGCTGAAGCAAGCATTCTGCTGGCTGCAGAAATGTATGTTCCGTGTCACTTACAATTTTGAAACTAAGTGGGAGATACGCTTCTGAAATCTCAGCTGGACCCCTTAACTCAGAGAGTAACATGGTATCAAACTAGAAAAAAATTAATTGCTTTTGTTTTGTTGCTCCCTGCTGGTATGATTTATTTTAAATTTAGCTGAACCCAGGGAGAAGGCGCTGAACTGTAATTCGGAAACTGACATGTGCTCTTTTGTCCACCTCTCTTACCGGTGCTCCAAATTCAAAGAAAAGAATGTTTCTGTGGCCTGGAAGACATTGGCTATTGCACCATCTATTTTATCTGACATGGCAGGAATTGAGTTACTCCACGTAAGTGAATTTTATGAGCAACTGAAGTCTACCCACTTTGAGTGTCAATGTGTTTTAGAAAATGTCTGGTTTTTCTAGAAGAAGATTTATCTAATGTGTATCTTACTTATTTCCCTATTTTTTTATTTTTTAATTTTTCAATTTTTTTAGGGGGTGAGCAACCATCTAAGTTTGCCAGATCAGGACTTGCCCTGTTTTGGCACTGAAAATCCCATGTCTGGGGAAAACTCCTTCAGGACAAACTGGGACAGCTGGTCACCCAATAGTTAGCTATGAACTTGTGTTCACTGCTTTCTGGTTACTCTGTGTTGTTGGTATGAACCTAGCTATGGTGAGTGTATAATCCAATGATGCCGTCAGGATGACTGAAGCTTTAGCCCCATATGCCCCCAGACTGTATGATGGTAGAGTAGCCAGTCAGCTTGGCTTATCTGAGTGAGAAACTGCCTGTAGTTCAATGTTACTCCCAAGTGCACAGGCTTTGTAAGTTCTTTTCACCCAGGCTACACATGGAGTTTGTTGGTTTTCAGGAGTCTCATCAGGATAATGGAGGTCACCACAGTTTGGCCTCTGGATAAGTGGGGTGATTGTGATCAAAATAAGTGAATGAGTAAAAGTGACTCAGGACAGAAGCAATAATAACAAGTGACTTTTGAGTAATTTTTCTTAGTACAAAAGAAAACTTGTGCAAAGAAACTATGAAGAAAATATTTCACCCATCGCTTAGACCCTTTGTAAGAACAGAGTCATTTCTCCCCCATATTTGAGCCCATGTATTCATTATCCTTCGGATCTCCATTTCATTAGGAACATGACACTCAACCAGAGAGAATATAATTGCTTTAGCTTTGTTTCTCCATGGAAAAGGGGGGTTAGAAAGACTTGAGAAAAAAGGAGTAAAGAGTTGTGTCCATCCCAGACAGGTGAAAGGCGATCTGCTAAGTGAGGGTTCTGGCAACACAGAAAACCAAGGGGCACAGCCAGGCCACAGCTCCATGGCCAGTCACACAAGATACACCTGGAGAATGAGAGCAAAATTGCTTCCGAGTTTCTGATACCCACATTACTTCATCTAATCTCAATAAGATGAAGTTCTCAGTTTGATGAAGAGAAAGCAAAAAAACCCCAAAAAACCAAAAAAACAACAAAAAAAGCATTGAGCATTCTTAGTTTCATTGAAAACCTCATTCTGGCTTTTGTGCCCCTCAAGCACTCAGAATGTTTTTTTTTCTCAAATGGATTCACAAGGCATTCCTGTCCATTTTACTAGGCCTACTCTTCATAAGGTATGGTGCAAAATATTTTATGGGCACTGAGAGATAAAGATAATTCTTTTCCTTAAGACATGCAGCATCTAGTTTGGGAATGATATGTATAACCCAATGTTGCCAGACATCACCAGCCTGTACATACTCTCGATGTCCTATTCATAATAGCACACAGATTTTGATGACTTGGAACTCTGTATTTGCCCATTTGGGAACTTAGCTATCTTTTAGAGCTTATATATCAGTTAGGGTCTCAGTAGGAAACAGATGGTGCATTCAGGCTGAAAATTAATAAAGGGACTGTTTCTAAGAGGTGTGGCCAAGGTTTAGGAAAAACAATAAGGGATGGTGCAGTACATGCAATCCAGTGACGGTAGGAGCTGTTACCCTTGGGCCTGCAGGTGCAATGGGAGAAGGGTCATCAGAACCTGCAGAGAGAGTGAGAGAGTCTGCTATAAGGAAAGGGTCTCTTGTCAGATGCTGCAATTATCAGGGATGGAACTGGGGGGAAAATAAGCTTATCACACCATACCCCTCCTCACCTTCCTCTGGGCTCCTGGTGGTACCCCTGTTGTGTGAAATCAACCAGCAGCCAATGGGAAAGGAAGCCCCCTGGCACTGTCCACACAGGTCACCCTTCCAGGGCACAGAGCACTGGGGAGAAGGGTAAGAGCAGATCTGGAGAGTCACATGGGAGATGTCAAGCACACTGATTTCACCGAGTTCTTCAGGTGATGTCTCCCCGTCCTTCCTCTTCTGCTCTGGTGTCCTTTGTTTAAGATCTGTGGCCTGCAAAGCTATCTAAAGTGTTTTCTTCACCATTGACACTGCTCTTGGGGCTGCTAATAACAAGTCCAAAGTTCTCGCCTGTGGTGTTCTCTTCCAGCATGCCTGTGTAGTCTGAGTCCTCTGAGGGGAAGATGCTAAGACAGGATGAAATGCAAGAATTTTATTAGGGGAAGTGCCAAGGAAAGAAAATGGGGCTGGGGCTGGGGAGGCTGAGAGAGCTGTCACAGTGACGTTGAGTGCAGGAGAGAGGGGCACAAGCACCTAGCTGGTCATATAGTCTCACAAACGTTCTGCAGCTTGTCAGGGAGTCTTGAAGCCAAACTCAGCATCACAGGAGTCCCATGCTGTACCACCCCTGCCACATTCAGTCTTCGGTTGGGAGCAGTCTGTAGAGCATGGCCTTGGTCCAAAAGTGGTGATGAATTTCAGAGGCCAGCAGCTAGACCCTTGGTCAGTTATGCTTCCCCCAATTGGTGATCTGTGAGGTGCATTCTTGTACCCTGCCTCCCTCAATTCCCAAAGCTGCTAGTCCCCAGGAATTCTGAGTGGTATTGGAATCCAAGAGAAAGGGGTCAGAGAATGACCTTCTCCCTTGACCTCCCTTGAATTTGCTTCATGGGTCTGAGCAACAATTTTTGTGCCAAGATTATATCTACTCTCGTAGAAATAGCTTCCTGTAGGATAGTGTCAGTGTCTGGGGGTGGGCATGGTTATGAGCCTTGGAGTGGCAGGGGACCCATGGGAACTGGGAACTGGAGTAGTAGGGTTAAGTGTTGGAGGGGTAAGTCTACCCATAGGAAAGTTGGGGTGATTTTAGGGTAAAAGCTAGGCTGCCAAAAAGAATTATAAATATTATTTATCCAAGGATAGATAAAGTTAACTTCTGGAAACCTCTTGCTAAGTAGCAAGAAATAAAACACGAGTTAAATCGTTATCAGGGAATTTAACTACAATATACTACACTAATTTGCTCATGTTTCTGACTCCCCTGCCTGACTGCAAGTACTTTGAGGGCAGAACCTGTATTTTATTTGTCTTTAAGAAGATAATCTTGAATCAGTTAAGCAACTCATGAATGTAACTTCCTTTATAAAAATAGAAAGTTACCAATAATTCTGAAATCTCCTTTGATTATCTCTCCCAAACCTGGTCTACCCCCTTCTCCCCATTAGCCACGCACAGGGCACACAAATGGCTCAAATGATGCTCGTTGATATGTATTGGAATGGTCTAGAGTGGGAATTGAGGTTCAGGTGCAGAAATTGTTGTGTACTGGGAGGGTCTAGAATGGGCATTGCAGGCAGGGTGGCAGGGTGATTGAGTTCCTACTTGACAACCCAGCCAGGCACCCTCTGTCTACATTACAGGCTGCCACACTCACTCTGCTTATCAATGGTCTCCGAACTGGGATGTACAGCAGATTTGGTGTAAGCATCCATAATTTCTAGAATATAGTTTCACTCTTATCACCAGAATTATGCTCTATTTCCATAGATTAAATCTGGTCTTGCTGGGGATGCTGCTCAGGTCTTCTGATGGTCCTTTGAGGTGGAGGCTCAGGGCCATCAAATTCTACTGGAAAGGCTCCTTTCCCAAAGGAAAGGGTGGAAAAAGAAGATGAGAATTTCTTCTGGTCAAGGACCACTGGGCAATGATTGACACTTCCAGAAGCTGGTGATGTAACTTGGAATGGATGGTGGGAGAGAGACAGGTATGTCAGATGTGCACCAAGTCGGTAGGTGATGTTGACTTTTGAGGCCTGACTGTTCACTGATTCTTTATCAAGACAGAGTTAAACCAATGACTGAGCCCCATGGTCTGGGTCCTACTGGCAGGTGATGTCTAAGTCAAGGACTTCTTCTTGGTCAAGAAAGCAAGGTAGGAGGGAGGGTGAAAAGTAAACCAGCAAAGAAGGCTAGTGGACCCTTCCTTAGCAAGACTTTGAGCAAGTCACATCCTTTCTCTTCTGCTTCTTGAAACCCATAGCCCTATAATGAGAATGTCAACCCATACCCAGGCTCTTAGCAGCCATCCTCCTGGTGAAAGCCAGAGACTGCTCATGAATGGGGGTCAGCCCTCTAGCGGCCCTTTGTCCTGGGCCCTGCATTCAGTCAGTGACTTGCTGGCACATTCTTTTAATCATTGAATACCCATGTGTCTCACTGGGTGAACTTTTACTTAAAATTCTTGTCTCAGCCACACACAGTAAGTAGAGAAAAATGTAAGACACTTTTTCTTTAGTCACTAATAAAAGACCCTGAGGAAAAAGCCTAAGTAGCTGTGTTAATCATTAAATTTGCCCCACAGTCAGCTCTGAACTTTTACTTTGGCACATGTTTGCCTGGGACACAAACAAGTTAGGTGAGTTTACAGTCCAACATGAGTGAGTTACCTGCACGGTAGCTGCAGGCTGGGCTCTAACCAGATAACATAGCCATCGGCTTCCAGCAGAGATGAACAAGATTGTGTAGAGAGGAAAGATAATTTCTCCCTTGAGTCACAACAAGACAATCAGAAAAAGGTAACGTGTGATTCCAAAACGTCTCTGCTCTCTGTTTTCTAGGTATTGCATCTCTTGTCTATGTCGTGGTGAACAAAAGGAAATGGTGGATCCATAATAACCACCTTTCTGCTCCGTCTCTCAAAGTCCAGAAGTGGGGAGGCTCGGAGCGGAGGGAGGAAAGGAGGAAGAGGAGATAGGAGAACAGAAACAGAGTGGCGAGAGGAGGGAGATGACTTGAACAAATGCACACAATTCTTTAGTTGAAAATTTTCTGGCTAAGAGAATCAGGGTGGAGGCTGAGTTTCTCCTTAGTAAGAATCAGTGGATTAGTCATATTAAGAAAAATTATACTTATTCATTTGCTTGCTCTATTCTAGAGGGAAAGATGCAAGTCTGAATGTAGGGCTTTAAGAAAACCCATGTATAAAGATTTGCTTCCATTGTTCTAAGCATGGGAGTAGACACTGAAATGAAGGGTTAAAATCATGCAGCCAGACTGAAAATAGTCTCTCTTGTGCTGAGGATATTCTCTTGTGTGTAACAAGCAAGTCAAATCCTGTGCTTTTGGATTAAGAGCAAATACTCCTGGGTATCTTTCTCTATGAAGGAGATGTGTTTCTGAAAATTGAATGTTATAAAATTGAATTCTATTCCAAATACATGTACCAATGTAGGGTATTTTGCAACTTGAAGAACACTTGCTGAATCCATTTGGGAATTTTAGAGCTCCTCTCATATGTACAAATAGCTTCCATCCCTATCCCATTCACCAACAAATACTAGGCATATAACAAATATTTGTGGAGTTGAATTAAATATAGATGGTTTTATATATTGGACTGCCTTAGTCAAGACATACCTGTAAATCAAGTTTATTCTAAGTTTTTTACAGATAATATTTTTCTGGGAGTTTATTGTGGTTTTTATATTTTTTGAAATAGTGTGACTACTTTTGCTAGTCTCAGTGTTTCCTTAAAAATATAAATGAAGCATATCTTTAGGAATATGTATGTATTTCAGCTTAGGTAAACCCAGGCTCAGATTATTTCAATAGATATTTATCAATTAGAATCTACTGAGTACCCTGTGGGGCTATTGAACTAAGAGGACTGTGGAACTAGAAGACTGGTGGCCTCTTTGAGGACAGGCTGTCTAAGAGAATAGGCATTTATGGCATGGCACTGTCTGGGGCAGGCTGCACAGGATATACATTTCAGGTTCAGGGAAGAAAGGACAAGGACAGCTAAATGGCTGGGTGCTGGGGGAGGTCATGGAGAGGTTGTGACTGCCAACTGACCTGCAAGCTGGAACTGGGCAATTGGAGGCTCCTTAACCCTCCTCCCCTGTCCTTGGAATGCACGCTTCGCCCACTGTTCCCTCTGTGGGAGCCATTTTCAAGGATGCAGCCTTGAGAGGACAATGTGTGGTTGAGCCTATCCGGATGGTATACGTGACTGAACCCACTTAAAGCCTCTATATAAACTTCTGAGATTCTGGCAGGCAGGCATGGAGATCTATCTACTCATCTGGCAGCTGCCCAAGACAAGCCTCGTAAGTTCCCTTGTTTATTACCAATCCGAGGTCATCTGCCTCTCTGTCCTCTCCTTGCCCTCTGTGTAAGGGCGCTAGTAGGTGAACCAACAACTGACTAGCCAAGAAAATGGGCCTTGGGAAAGACGCATCTGCAGGGAATCCCAAGGTGGCCACCCACCTCCATGTCAGATGCTTGTGGACCACTCTGTGAGGCCTGGGACGCCCCCCAAATGCCAGCTGGTCTAATGCAGTTGTTTGAGGAAATGTACACAGTGCCCCATGGCAATGAATGGCTGCCGCTGTGGGTGGGCCTCTCCTTGGGCAGTTCGGCCCAATACTGATGCCTAACTAGAAGCTAAAACTTGAGTTAGAAAGTTGGAGGAAGAGTTGAAGTCAGAGAAGGACATGCGCTTGCCCACTACTCTGCTAGCTTTGGGGCTGGCAGACAAGGTGGGAGAGCAGGATAAAGAGTTGGAGAACTTAGCGAGCTGTTTTGCAAAGCTAGGAGGGCACAAGCTGCTGTGGATTATGGTTGGAGCCCTGTGGCAAAGCCTGATTGGGATGCTAAGCGGTAGAATTCCTGGGAAAGTGAGAGAACAGAGGAGAATATTGTGTGATTGACAGTGAGACTGACAAAACGCTCCCAAGCCATCTGACCCCTGAAGCAAAGGAAGACAGAAGCACTGGGGGGTGGGGATGGGGTGAGGGCATTCATCTGACCAGGCAGGAGAGCAACGTCACCACCACCCTGCCCTCTGGCAGCACCTGCCTGGTGCTGGGGGTTTGAAGTTCTCCCTCCCTTACAGATGGGTTTATTCTAGCCTATAGGGAGGCTTGGCTCCATGAAAGGGACCATAACTTCATGGGCACATGGAACCATAAGAATCTATAGAGGAGGTACCACACATTCTTAGAGAGTTGGGAATGAGACAGGTAATCTATGCCGCTGTCTTTGAAGGCCCTGATGGGGTCACATTAACTGCAAGAATGAAAGCTAAAATGCTCCAGCCTGCCCCCAGCCCCTGCTATGTTATCCCTGCTGAACCTGTTGTGAGACAGGACTTTTGTGCTGTTGGGCAATCCATTGCTGCTCTGGGGAAACAGACAGATTCTGAGGATGGGAAAGACCCAAGCCAGAGAGGGATCTCAAAAGCCCAGGGGCAATCCCAACCAGCTGTAAAGGGTCTAGTAAAGGTAATCTGGAAACAAATGTGATTTGATCTCCTTGCTGCTAGGATGCCACTTGAAAAGATAGGCAACTCAACGCTATGTTGGTTGGCCTGTGGGGAGCCTGAAAACCTGAACAACACTTCAGATGTGCCCCATCTGCCCTATGATCACTGATGCCCTGCCTCGGGCATCAGAGGCCTTGGGGACAGTCCTGTTCGGGGTGGGTGCCTCCTATGCCCTGGGTATAGGGTGCAGGCCCAGACTGCCTCCAGGTGAGGGCCATGAGAAGCGGTTGGAAGCATCATATTGAGCTCACTATTCACTGGTCCCCAGAAATAAACAGAAGGGGATGGCCCTGGCAGATACTGGAGCCAAATGTACTCTAATGTATGGTCCTCCTCCGAGATAAGAAGTTTTCTTATCTCTTCAGCACCATTGATGGTTATGAAGGGCAAACAGTTATGGTCAGAAAGGTCCCTTTGACACTGACAATTGGGTGTTCTCCCCCTCCAACCTCCAAAAATAGGAGGTATTTATCTCTTCCCCCAGAGAACACATTGGGCATTTATATCCTACAAGGTCAAATTCTGCAAACCTCTCTGGTGAATTCTGCCTCTAGGTCAAAGGAATCACACTAGTGCCCCAGAGAAATGTCGATTGCCAGCTGGGAAGCCTGCCACCCCCAAGAAGAATGTTGGCTGTCAAACAATATAAATTACCTGGGGGGTGCATAAGGAAGTAGGAAAACTATCCAAGGACTGCACCAAATGTATTTTACACCCTGCTGTGGTGCTTTCAACAACTCAGTATGGCCCGTAAAAATGCCAGATGGCTCATGGCAGATGACTGTGGACTACTGAGAACTGAACAAGGTAGTTCCCCCATCCATGCAGCTGTGCCCACCATTGCCACCATCTTAGATGCCTTGGCCACAATCCTAGGAATGTACCACCTGTGCTGGATTTAGCAAATGCTTTTTTCAGTGTACCCCTAGCTGCTGAGTCACAAGATTAATTTGCCTCCATGTGGGAAGGACAACCATGGACATTTCAAATGCTTCCCCAAGGTTACCTGCATAGCTCCACCACATGTTATGGGATGGTAACCTGAGCTCTGTCCCTGTTCTCTTCCCACATTAGTAAAATGGGCCCATTACATTGATGATATAATATTAACATGTGAAGACTTGCCTCTGTTGGAGGACTCTCTAGACTTTGCTGGAACATCTCCAAGGGAGAAGCTGGGCAGTGAACCCACAGAAAATTCAGGGCCCAGGTACTGCCATAAAGTGTTTGGGATTGATATGATCCATAAAATGCAAGCCTGTCCAACTCATAAGAATGTGAAAGAGCTGCAGACCTTTGTAGGGATTTGGGATTTTGGAGGATTTTAATTCTGCACCTGGCCCAGTGCCTCCATCCCTTATACTGCCTGATAAAGACAGGGCACACATGGAACTGGGGATCAGAAGCAAGCCCCCTTTGAGAATCAGAACTACTAGGGAAGCAGATGAAGGCTCTGGGCATCTCCCAAGCAGGGCTACCATTTCAGTGAGACGTGTCTGTGACTCCAGAAGGTATGGGTTGGGCACTGTGACAGAAACAACAGAAAGGAAGAGTACCCCTAGGACTTTAGCCCCAGCTGCAGAAGGGGGCAGAAACCGGGTATGCCCCATTGAGCAATGGTTCCTAGCAGTGTACACAATAATTTTCCAAGTAGAGCCTCTCACCGAGGAACAGCATGTCATGGTAAGAACTTCCCTTCCTGCAAAGAGTGTGTTAAAAATATGTTCTGTCAACCCATCTCTGCCATGGTTCAAACTCCCCCTTTGACTAAGTGGCATGTCTGTTTGCAGTGGAGGGGCACCCTCTCTACCAGCCCTCTGTCTCTAGAAATGCGGGTGTTAGTAGTTCCTGTGGAGTGTGTAGATCCCCTAAATGCCCCCACCCCATTCCTGAGGCCACCCCTGTAGCCTCTGTGCCTGTTAGAGAGGGAATGGGAGAAATTCCTGCTGATGCCTGGGATTCAGATGGGTCTAGTGAGGGCAGCCTGCCTACAGGGACTGCAATCAATATTCAGGCCAACACTGACACTACCTTGACAGAGACAAAAATGAAACATAACAGCCGGTGGGCTGAGTGCAGAGCGGTCTGGATGGTGACCACTCATGAGCCTTGGCTGTTAACCCTTTGCCTTGACAGCTGGGCTGTTCTAAAGAGATTAACCCCATGGCTTTGGATAGTGGGAAGCTGAAGGGGGGATGATCATGAGTAAGACCTTGTGGGGTCGGGATATGTAGAAAGGCATTTGGGTTCATCAGCAGGAGCCTGAAGCAGCCCTCACTATCTTCCACGTGCTGGCTCATAAGGCACTGATGCCTAAGCCAGCTACAAACCCTAGCAACTGACCCTTCGGTAGATACAGCGGATTGGGTACCTAGGAAGAGCAGCCACTATTGCATCCAGGTAGGATGGCATATCACCAAGAATTGGCCCTGAAATACAGTGACTTGGTTGATGCAGCAATCACACATCCTGTGTATTCTAAACAACACCCAGGGGAACTGCCAAAGGCGTCTGGGGCTCTACACCAAAATTCCCCACCAGTGAGGGACTGCAAATCGATGATATTGGCCTCCTCCTTCTGAGTAAGGGTTCTAAGCATGCCTAGATAGGTATCATGTCTAACCCAAGCTTTCCCATCACCAAGTAAACCAGGCTGTCACCTAGGGGATTAGAAAGCTGAGTACCATGAACAGATACCCTCGTCGAATGGAGAGTGATCAGGGGTCACATTTCAAAGGTCATGATGCGCAAGGCAGGGCCAAAGTACATGACACTGGATGGAGGTTCCATCTTTCCTATAACCTGCAAGGGTTAATGGGGAAAAATGGAATATTAAAGCAGCAGATTAAATTACTAACAAGTGAAGCCACCTTGGCAGGACGGACTAAAGAATGATCTAAGGCTTTCATACATTTGAAGGCTAAACCAGTAAGGCCTGTTGCCGCAAATACCAGGGTAGGGATGTCTCCTGAGACGCCAAACACTAGTAAGATGTGGAAGTCCTGGGAGACAGCCATTGCCCTGACTCTCACTGTTGATCGACCTGCTATGCTGCTGAGAACACCAAGTTCCATCTTGCCTGGGAAAGACATTATCTACTGGAATTTGCAATGAGATGGCCCTCTGGAATGGGTGAATTACTTCACACCTCTGATAAGGAGAACTGCTCAATCTCCACTGGGATCCAACTGTCCTGCTATAAGCTGTACCTAGGGAAACATACCCTATCTGGAATGGAACACACTCCATTGAAAGAGAGAAAAAATAGAGTTCCTGGTCTGGCATATTCTGCCCCAAGTCCATCTCCTCGTGCCGGTCAATGCTGCCTCCCCCAGCCAATATGTATGGTATGCACAGCAGGTCAAGTTCCTCAAGTAGCCAACATCCCTCTTCTCAAGACCAGGTGGGCACGTTTAGTTTTGCACTGGCATAATCATTTGGCCACTGTCTCTCTTGTGGAGGGGGGTAGAGACCCTGGAGTCATGAGGTCCAGTTTGGAGGCTCCAGCTTTCTTTCATCCCTTCTCCTCTGCTGTGAGGATAAGGCAATTTCTCCAAATTCCTGTTAGTACCATTTGCAACCCATTACCATACCTAACATTTGCTTTGTTGAGCTCTTTACTTTTCTGTGTTGATTGCTTCCTGGAGGAGTGAGACTTCCAGAAAAAAGCCAGAACAAAACAAACCCTTTTTCCCCCACCACAGCCAATGTTAATTAGTATTTTGATGTCTAGAATTTATTTATTTTAAAATATGATGCTTTTGTTCAATAATGAATTAGTGAAAGAGGTTATTATTATTTACCCAGCTTAAACATGCATAAAATAAGTTGGGACCAGTGGTGAGTGAAATCGTGATGATTTTATATAAGATTCTTAGATTACTCTTTGCTCCTGAGCTTGGGAAGATGGTGAGTCTCTTTGGAGACTCTATGGCCATATTGGCATCACTTCCTTAATTTCCCAAGTTTTAAAATAGCAAAGTAATAGTATGTCAGCAAAAATGACTGTAATTTTTCATCTTATTTTTTATAAAGCATAAAAGCTACATGGCCCCAATCAAAACTGAAAATGCTTTTAATGTCTGAGCAATTTTGAGAGGATTGATTTATGAGGACAAGATGACTGTCTGGCTGAGCTCTCTGACAAATATTGAAATACTACTTTTGATAGGTGAGTAGGATGTGATTTGAAGGGGTTATGGATAGAACACAAGATACCTTGATAACTAGTTTATTGATACTTAAAATACTGTTTTTGGGGGAAGTGTTGAAGTATCTTCTCTGTTTAATAATTATTTTTTCTGTTAAGTAACTACTTGCCAGTATATTTAATAGTTATGAATATATACTTCATAGTATACACATTAAATAATATGCAGATTAAGTAGTTATATATTAAATAGTTATGAATACATACTTCAGTTTTTAATGTCTAATGGAGGTTGCTGTTACAGTCTAGAACTTTTAGTAATAACTTATAACCTTCCTTTTATAATTCCTTTTCCAGCCATATGATGTAATTCTTTTTAGATTTTACTGCTTTGTCTTCCCAAAAGGGAATAGCTTATCTTGTCTTAGTGATTAATGATTGCTTGTATTAAAATCTCCTTTTCTCAAATCACATCTCTAATTTTCTCTGTGGATTTGGTTATCCTCTGTATCTTTCTGTGGCATCTGTTTCTGGCCTTCTTTATGTGGAATTATCTAATACACCTTTGAGGGGTAAGCGTGGACTTGTCTGGCTGGGGCTGCCATGGTGACTGTGCTGATGTGAATGACTCCCTTCCAACTTGGGTTGTGTAGTGGGACGCCTGCGTATATGTTCCTGGAAGCCCTGGGCTAACCAGAGTTCACATGGCCTGGATTATCCTTTACCTTTTCTGATATAGAAACTGGAAAGTGTTCTGTAGATAATAATTTTCCTGTCTGTGACCTCACTAAGTAGCTGACTGATTTTTGCCGACTTCTTTGTATTGGCTTTACCGGGGCCCAACGCATACTCAGGAGCATCTTTAAATATGAGGGATTGACTAAGGTCATGCTCAGCGCATGGTATCTATGGGAGACCCTAATCTAGTATGTGAAGTCTCTAGTGGTTTTTCTTCAAAAGGAAATTCCAGCACCGCCCCACGCTTCAGCCCCTCACTGAGCAGGCAAGACAAAAGCCTAGAGAAATTTGTATCCATCTGGGGAGTCATTCTGATCATGTATTCCAAAGGGGGAAACCACAGGATGGTATACTGAGTGGGGGCATGAAATAGGAACAGCTTCTAGAAGTTTCTCCTCTTTGGGAAGTAGAAATACAAGAAGTAAGTGGTGACTTTATAATTAAATATGGCTACCTGAGTAAAGCGTGGAAAAGAGAGAAGAGACATTTTGGGTTCAGTTAGGACCAAATGGGTCATTGAGGCCCTTTTGGAAGGAAATGAAAATTCAGGATTGTCCGGAGAACACTGGGTTTTTGGATGTCTGAGATGAGAGGTTCAGTTGGAACATTTCTTAAAATGGGAGTTTTGGAGGCGTGGTCTCCAGGCAGTAGCACCTGCCCAGAAATGTGAATTCTTGGGCCACACCCCAGACCTTGGGAGGCAGGAACTTGGGGGGTGAGACCCAGCGATCTGTGCTTCATTCAACCCTTCTGGTGATTCCGAGGAATGCTTAATTTCGCTTCATAACACTGGGGGAGCTGAAGGACTGAATCTGAACTTTGAAACTAATGTTTTTCTCACTTATTTCAGTGCCTTGCCTGAGTTTCCACATTGAACCCAAAGAAGGTAGCCTTGCGGGGGGAACGTGGATCACAGTCGTTTTTGATGGTAGGTTTGGGTCTTACCAAGTGCAAGTTTCTTATTTATGGATCTGAATAACCTTAAAGCATGTGAGTCTTTGTTTTTTTCCCTTGTCTAAGGCAAGTGTAAAACAGGGCCCCAAGGGAGATAGACCAGCTGACCAACGTCTGTGTTTCCAGATGCCTGCTTGTGTCGCAGACGCAGAGCACATCACACCATTATACGACTGTGCCCACTTTCTTATCCCAAGCCAAGGATGGGACTCTAGGAACCCTAAATGAAATAATATGGGAATCGTGAAGCATAGTACTTGGCAATGTATTCCCCAGATTCTTGGTTACCTTTCTTGTAGATAATTCTATTTATGGGGGCTTCTAAACCATGGCTTAGTTTATCCATTTCTACCACAGTAAAGAGTAACTTTGGACAGGTGGGAAGGGAGGGATAAAGGCGGGAAAAAAGAAAGGGGGCATTATGATTAACATGTATAATGTGTGTGGGGGCACGGGGAGGGCTGTGCAACACAGAGAAGACAAGTAGTGATTTTACAGCATCTTGCTATGTTGATGGACAGTGACTGTGAACGGGTATGTAGGGGGGACTTGGTGAAGGAGGGAGCCTAGTAAACATAATGTCCTTCATGTAATTGTAGATTAATGATACCAAAATAAAATTAAAAAAAAAAAAGAGTAACTTTGAGGGTTGAAAAATTCTTTCCAGGATGTAAGTGGATGGGCCTGAGGAGAAAACTCTTTTTTTTTTTATAAACTCATAAATGAAAGCACCCATTTACACAGCAGTCCTAAGTGCCTTTGGAAATGACGATTATTAATTGAATCCTTAGGCAAACTCAGTGCCTCACATCGCCCCCCTGTGGCCGCGTGTTTTCATTCTCCTGTGTGGATTACAGCTCTGCTGAGCCCCAGATGCCCCTTTCCCTGTGTTTAGCTTTGGAGGCGGGGCTCCTTTATCCCACCAATGGCTCTCCGCTGGAGATGCGCCTGGTGAATGTGGCCGTGCCTACGCTGCCGAGCGTCCCCTGTGACATCTCTCCTGTCCCCCTGGATTTGCTGGTGGTGATGTGCAGGACCAGGTATGCTTGTCTGGGAATGAGATCAGATGAGCGCTTTGCTCTGAGTCTCAGTAGCGTTTGGTGGCAAATTAGAGCAACTCCTGCTGTGAGTGCAATTATCAACTATAAAATGTTCAGCTAAAAGTGCTATAATAAATGATCAGCTATTAAAAATGTTTCATGTGAATATGCTTCTTCGGAGGTCCCTATGGGGGCTCCAGTGTTTAAAGGAGGATGAGAATGTGGGGAAGAATTTTGAGATATTTGTAAGGAGGGGCTAGATTGTGTTTACAGTAGTTTTTTTTTTCTTTTTTTTGCAAGAAGCTCTATGGCTATTATTTTAATAAATGGCACCATTTTGCCATTGACAGAACTCATCTTTTGGACTAGACAACATGTAATGATTGTGCACAAACTTAAAACCAGTTAGAAAGGATATTTTGTGTTGGTCTTCCATGTGTCTGTTGTTTGATATGATTTGTACAGATTTCAGGTAATCTATGCACTCCAGGTTTTGTTGGCTTGTGAAGTTTACACGGGTTCATTCTTTCTCTACTCATGTCTTAGAGATGCTGCATGAAAACGGATCATTGGTTAAGAGAAAAAAAAATGGCCATTTCCTTTTGTTTCCTGTCCCCTCTTTTAGGAAGGGTCCCCTCTTCCATCTCTGCCTATTGAAATCCTAACGAGCTGTGCAGCAAACACCGAACACCACCCGTTCTCTGAATGTCTGAGTGTGACCCTTCCCTCTTCTGAGATGGGAACAAATAGGGTTCTGAAATCCAGGCTGTAGTTGCGAGCTTTGAGGAAGGAGCACATTTTAGTAATTCATCGACAAGGCATACACACCCGAACACACTACACACACATTTCCTTGTGCAATTCATCCTCAAAGGGGAAACCTTTCTGTGATTTACATGAAGGCACAGCATGTGTAGCCCTAGTGGCCCTGTTTCTTCAGCCTAAGGTTTCTCACAACACTATGTCAGTTGCCCACTTGTCAGATTCGTCCTTAGAGAGCTCACTGATGTGTTTAGTCATGCCCTGTAGCCCTTATGGTACATAGCACAACACATATGAGTAGAAGATGCTCAATGGATGTCTGTTGTTCTCAACTTCCTTATAGCCTTGCTGTTCGTTTTAAAACTGGGTTATGTTTTCCTTTGGTTTTATGGTATATTTGGGCATAGAGTTCCTGTAAAAACCTGCCATGAAATAAGTTAAAGCTCTGAAGATTTATATGCTCTAGCTCCTCTATTCCAACATACTAATGATTTAAGAGACACCATCGATTTTATACCATTTAAAAGAAAAAGAAATACCATCATCTTTTATGTATGTACTAGATGGAAGATGAATATCAAGTTCATTTAACATCCCAGTGTGAAAAAATGTACATTTTATCATCAATGAAATACTATCATATTCATTGTCATAAAAAGACACTCTTCTTCCACCAAAATAGGTATTGTAGCTTCTAAATCACCACTACCCAATTGAAATACAACACAAGCCACAAACCTAATTTAAAAATTTCTGGAAGTCACATTAAAATGTTAAGAGAAACAAGTGAAATGAATTTTAACAGTATATTTTATTTAACTCAGCATATCAAAAAGATTGTCATTTCATATGTAATCCACATATAAATGATTACTGAGCTATTTTATATCCTTTTTTGCCTACCAAGTCTTCAAAATCCAGTGTGTATTTTATACTTATAGCATATCTTAATTGGGGCTAGCCACATTCAAGTGCTCAAAGCAACATATTACTAGTGGCTAACACACTGGATGGTGAAGGTGTAAATAAGGTCATAATGAAGATTTTGGTGAGAAGGTTTGGAGGGGAGGCACTTCTAAAATCTAACTCTCTATTCATTATATTCCCTCTCTTACAAAAGCCAATATGAATAGCAGCCTTGAAGAGGCAAAGAAAATCGCTGTGATAGCCACGATAAGAGGAGAGAAGGTTTCGGCCTCTCTTGATGGATATGTGAAGTGTTTATGGGCTGCTTGGGAGAATATGAAGGCAAGACTTTTTGGCAATACAAAAAATCAATGCCTTTTATAAGAACGAGCCTAAGATCCGAGCCCCATTTTGCCCTTAACCTGTTCACACACATAAATTTCTTAATCTATCTGGAAATGTCTTTTTTTTAATGGAAACTAGGATTAGATTATCAATATCCCTTCTAACTCTTAATGTCCTATGAACCTATGATTCTAAGAGACAGGACAGATAACTTTTTTAAATTTTGGTAACTTTCAGTAAAAACAAATTCATAACGTTTTGCTGAGGATCTAGTATGTCAAGTCTAGTGGATGACGGGATCTAAGAGGGGAAAAGTGAAATATAGGGATCCTTGGTCGGCTTTGTTTCCCAGGTGCAAGGGCATTTGCAGTGGCTTGTGGGGTTGCTAGCTTTGGTCATTCATGGTTTGAGATTCACAAGGATTTCTACTGCCTGCCCTCAGATCTCTGCAGACTGAAGCACATGAGGGTCTCTACTACCTGGAAGTGCTCGCAGGGGGACATGTGGTAGGCAGCCCGCCTCCCGGCCCACAAGACAGCTGTACTTTCAAGGTGGGTTCTGAGGATGGAGAAATGTGTGTTTGCCCAGTCTCAGGGCATGCCTGTGCTACTGACCAGCAAGTTATAAATTCAGAAGAGTCTGCCAGGCCGGGATAAGAAGAAAGGCAGACGGTGGTAATTTCCTAGACTGCGCTAATGGGAGGTAAATTCTCAGCGTGGTCAGGCGCTGTGCTTTACGTGCATTAATTTAATGCTCACAACAGTTTTGTGGAGTAGCTATTTATTATTCTGTTCTTACAGATGGCCAACCTGAGGCTCAGGGAGATTAAATCATTTGCTCACATCATCCAGGTAGTAAGTGGCAGAACTAGGGTTTGAACCCGTATCTAACTCTCCACCCACACCTAAACTGAAGCCCATCTTTGAGGAGCCACAGAGATTGCTACTGTGGGTTAGGGTTTCATTCTAGGCTGGGATCATCCTGAATCTCAGCATGGTGAAGGGACTCAGGGACCCAAGTTCCACTTTCCTTTCTGCTTCACGGTTTATTTCTGCTGACAGGGCCTTTGAGGGTGGAATTCGCTTTTGAGCTCAGAGCTAAAAGGAAGCAGAGAGAGAGTGAGAGAGTTTATGAGCCGATGCCCAACTTGCTTTAGAGAGGCAATACACATACCGGGGCCTGATTTTATGTTTGCTTCAGTTTCCTGTCCTTTTCAGATTAGTTTTACCCTAAAACAATTTCTGAAAGGGTGGGTCCTAGACTTCTCACGAAAGGGAGAGGCTTGGCAGAACCCTTTTGACATGGCTGTGCTTCCCAGAGGTTGTCTCTGTTTAAGAGCTGTTCATGAAAGTACAATGTGGTCATTAATTGATGCTCCTTTAGAACAAGACTTCCATCTTCTAAATCCATCTCTGATGTGATCTATCTTGTATACAGGCCACTCATTTCTCAAATTTGGAAATTGCTGTCAATTCACATTTACCAACTGTGTCTTATTCCAAGAGAATCTTGTTTTCTGGAAGTTTGCTCTGCACATATGCAGCAGAAAGAAAAAAAATCATTCTTTCTTATTAAGAGCCATACCACCACCTCTCTACTGTCTCAGTAAATATAACAGAAGAAGGATGGCCAAGCATGCTCCTTAATCACCGGGCTCTTTGGGTTTTGATGTTCTTGTCACCCAAGATTGGAAAGGAGAGCAAGGGGGAAGAAGAGAAGCACTTCCTCAAATTGCACAATAAAGAAAACAAGTCCTTCGGTGGCTCAGCTAGCTTGGCAGAGTTGATGAAAAATCGCCGGGGGATGCAATTAACGAGAGGCATTCTAAGCTAAATAAAACACGGTGTGTCTCTTTGTTTTGGGACTGGTATCGGGGGAACCATGAGTATTAAAAATTAATCTCATCTCGCCAGTCTACTTCAAAGAGCCTGCTGTAGGCGCTGACAAGTTTGAACAGCTCACAGAAGGTCTATCAAGCAGCTGGTGGCAGTGGCTGCACCATTCTGACCTGCTGCTTTTTCTCTCCATCTTGCTGCTGCTGACCTCACTGGGCTCAGGATCAGCACAGGGGAAGCTGGATTTAGAAACTCATCAATTTTTCCCTTTGTCATGTCACTAGTTTGGTGAGTGAACAGGGGCCTCTTTCTTTTAGAAATGTACCATTTTAGGACTCGTCATGTCAGAGAGAATCACAAGTAAGCTCTTTTTGAGGTTTAACTCTGAGCGCCCCCCACCACTCTGAGGAATTGGGAGGGAGGGAGAAGGGAGTTGCTCTTTTCCCCACACGCTTCTGGTGGAAGGCTCGCAGACTGGGTGGTAGATCTTAGGTTTCAAGTTGGAAATTGAGAGGTATGTTTCCTTATTTGGTTTGGACTTAGTTGTTCCATCTGCCTCAGTTTCTAACATCTGTGAGAAGGGACCATAACCACTGCCGTACTTCCAGAGGCCCCCGGGATAAAGTCCCAGTGAAAATGAGAGTGGTATGACAGACATCCCAGTGGGAGGCCAAGGCCTGGGCACAGTGGGAGGCTGGCAGGTGTGTGTGGAATTGCATTAATCTTTATCTTTTGGTGAGATCACAGCCAGCTCCCAGTTGGTAAGGTCACAGCATTCTTATTTTGACCCCCTGATGAAAATATGATGGTACATATTTTCTGTGAACTCTCTTCTCACCCTAGAAAGGCAGGGAACTAGTCTTGATAGCAGGCTGTAAGGCCATGTGGATCAATACTTGCCAAGCTGTCATCAGTTTTGTTGAAATCTCTGTTGACCCTCAGTGTCTGATTAGGGCTGTTGATTAACAATGGTGTTATTCTTTGGAGATACTCTCCAGGGGAAGGTAGATGCCTGAGGTGCTGCTGGAAGTGGACCAAACAATTCAATTTGCTATCATTTGTTTTGCAAATGGGAAGCACTGTAGATTGTGGGGAATGAGGGTAGTCAAGACTTATAGGGGTTGTGGGTGAGGTTAGCAGGAGAGGGAGACCAGGTCTCTTCCTGGGTCACTCATTAGCTCATGGGTCGAACCTTGGCCTGATCAGTCCATCCTTACACTTCTCCATTTTTCACACTGGTCCAGACTGTGAAATGCACTAATCTTGGACTAACCCAGATGCCTACAGGTGAAATCCAAGTCCTGGAATTATCTTTTTCTCTCCTGTGCTTCTGCAGTTTATCAGTTATTTCAGATGGGGCCACTCTATTCATTTACACAAATTTGAAAGTCTTCTACATAGCAGGCAGGCTATGCACAGGGATATAACAATGACTGGGTCAGGCACTGTCCCTGACTTCCTGGAACTTACGGTTAGCAGATGATGTGCTTCAGGGAGAGGGGGTATCACAAGATGATTGGAGAGTCATCACCCAGCTTTCACAGGCTCCCACCTTTCCCATCAATGCTGCTTTTCTCCTCAAAGAGTAATGTTGCTTCCCATCCCATGGATCATTGTAATCATTTTCTTCCCAAACAGACACATTCCATTTTCCCAACAAACACCTCATTTTTGTGCCTATCCAAACACCAATTTTTGTAGCTTAATAATCCCTCCCAAGGGGCTGGCTGATAATAATTTATGTTGCAATTCTTTTGATTTAAATAAGCAAATTTTTGTCTAGAAAAATAAAAAAAAGAATCCTTCAAGACCCCAGATATCAGTTAACAATAATGGAATGAAAAAGTTGGTATTTTAAAGGATGACCTGCCTGCTTTTCTTTCTGTAAACCATGTTCCTGGGAATTACAGCTGGGGAGGTAAAAAAAATAGGCTTACTAAGGTTTGGATAGTATGGTGCAGGATACGACCTGCACCATAAAAATATGCACCAAAAAACCCCACATTTTTTATATGACCTTGATAAAATTCCCTTTATCTCATCTGTGGAAGAACTATAATATCTGTCATCTGCTTCACAGATACATTATGAGGATACAAAGAAGTAAATGTGAGGTGATTTGAGGGAACACAGCTGTTTGCTCCCTGAGGCTAATGCTCTGTGAGGAATGACTTATGCTTCTTGTGTTTGTACTTCTGATACTCTAATGAAACCTTGACTTGTAATAACATCTTCTAACAGTTTTCCAGGGCACAGACACCCATTATTTACCAAGTCAACCCACCAAGTGGAGATCCAGGTAAGAAATCTCTTATTAAAATAGGAATAATTATGAATCCCTTATTGCAAACTCTTCTACCCAGGTGGTAGTATCTTTGCATGGGAAAATGTGGCCTCTTACCTGATGCTGTTTTGAAAATAAGTGTGAACCTCTGGTTTCTTTTTACTCTGGTTGGGTTTCACCTCTGGGCACTTTTGTTCTATTACTTCACAGACACCAAAAGGCACACAAACAGAGAGAGCAGGAGAGGACAGGAAAATCAAACCAGAGAATGGCAGAAGCAGAAATCATCACTCTTAACTTTATAATCATTGACATACCAGCAGACCTTTATTGAACTTTACTGTGATTCAGATTCTGTTCAAAGGTTGTGGCATATATTATCCTATTAGGTCCTCATAAGAACCTGATGATATAGGAACTACTATTATTTCCTTTTTTCAGGTAAGGAAATGAGATAGCAAAAGTTCAGGTGACTTGTCTAAAGTCATACTGCTAATAAGGGTACAGCTGTGATTTGAGCCCAGTCAGAATCCAGTGTGGGCAAGTATATCCCACATTTTTTTGCAGTGTGGAGCAGGGTTAGATATCACATGCAGGTCTTGAACCCTGATCCTTACCCTGGGGGTTTGATTATGAATTAGAGAGTACACACCAAAAGGCCAAGAAGATAGAAGAGGAGAGACAGAAAGCTGGGGGATTTACATTAAAGAAGGTATTGCAACTAAACAATAGATTCAGAAACGGCTAAGCCTGCCTTAAAACTAAGTAGGAAACACAGCTAGGATTATATGTAATTCACTGTTATATATAATCTTGGTATAATTCTTGGCAAATTCCTACATGTATTTCAGGGTTTTCATTTGCTCAGGTTTCCAGGTGGTATAATTATGGGAAGACAGGTTGCTAAATTTTTAAATGAGGTTGTGTCTAAATGCATAAACCGACCAAGTTATTTTGAATGGCTTAACTGCTCAAGAATGTCAAAATGAATATCTGAGTTACTGAAAAGTGTTTGTACTTGTGTGTGTGTAGACACAGATTATATATGTGTGAATTTAAATTATATCCTGAAGAATATGAACTTGGTATTATCTTATTAATGCAGGTTATTCACAGATCTGTTCCTTTCCATTTGTCTGAATAATCAAGACATGATAATGTTTTATTAAAAAGAGATGAGGTCTAAGAAAATGACATGCAGAAAAATCACAACTTGGTCCCTGCTGCTCTGGTGTTAGAAAGCTCCTGTTTTGATGGCAGAAGTCTTGTTAGGGTGAGGGATGAGGAAGGAGCCGGCCGATAGAGGTGTGAAATGGGATGTCGGCTCACCCAGATCTGTCAAGCCCCTTTCTCCCACCAAGTCTGAGTTCTGCACACTGTCTCCTCCACCTTCTGGGGGAACGATTGGTGACTGGCCTGGTTGGAGCAGTCCCTCCGGGCAGGATCCACACGGCTGCCTCTTTGCAATCACTTTCCAGACGATTACTCTCATTTCATTTGGGAAGCCTGCCCAGAGTAGCAGCCGGGCAGTTGGGGGAGGTGGTGGGGACAGAAGAGATGATGTGCTATGAGCATTTGAATTTCTAGATGTGCTTAACAGTCTTCCACTGTGACGCAGTATCACCTGGCACCACAGTCTGGCTTAGCCATTTCTCAGCTTCTGTTGGACTTTTTTGTTTAGAAACAAAACAAAAACCCACCAGAATTCCTAATTTCTATAAAATATAATAGTTTTAAAAATTGTGCCCATCAAGACTAGAAATCTTGCCCACCAAAGCCTGGAAATCAGTAATGTAGCCCTACTAAAATGAAGGGGAATTATTTTGCAGTTAGTAGCAGAGAACTTCAGACTCCAGACTTTTGCCAATTCTATGACCTTTGTCCAAGTCATTAGGGTCCCTTTATTTCTGCCCATTTACCTGTAAAATGGCTCTAATACTTCCTGGAAGGTTCTCTTGGTATTAGTGCCAGGCATTCAAGGACTGCAGATGAAGGTCATGTCCTATGAACAAAACGCAAGTACCGTGTGAAGGGAACGGCTCCTTGGTAATGTTCTTTTGTGGCCTTAAATGTGCCACTAAGTGATTCAAGTCCTCTGAATCCAGTGCATTGATAAGTCTCACATGTGCCCTTATCCTCAACATGGTTTGCAGTGCTTACAAACAGTGTTTTGTTTCATACTGATTGCAACAAGAATTGAAGATTACAGCATAGATGGTTAAATTCCCTGATTATTTGGAAGGCACACATTTCTAGGTTGTGGTGTTGTGTGATGAACTTTAACTGCATCCCCTTGGTAGGGTGTGCTTGCTTAAAACTTTGCCTCATGCAGTTCCACAGAACTGAGTTTAGGTGTTTTCCAACTGTGGCAGAACTCATTCCATGCAGCATTGGAGGGACCCCAAGCTCTTTCTGAGAAGGCGTTATTTTAGCTCTGTTCCCAACTCCTGTGAGCAGGTGGGATACAGGTTATCCTGAGAGTACACCTTGCTGAAAGGGGATTGCTGATGCCTGCACCCCCGATTCTTGTGAACTCAAAAGAAGGGAGTGTGAAGGAAATACTTGCAGTGGAAATCCTAGCAAGTAACAGAGAGGAGACTCAGCAACAGAAGTTATCTATTTATCAGTGGGCAAGACAGGCACCAACTGTTTGCTGTCTTTGAACAAGGGCGTGATGTAGAGTTATCTATTTATCAGTGGGCAAGACAGGCACCAACTGTTTGCTGTCTTTGAACAAGGGCGTGATGTAGTAGAGTAAGGTATACAATTGACCACCCTTTAAGCCATAACTCCATGGCTGTCTTGTACTGTCCTTCCTTAGTTCCTGTCCATTTGGGTCATCCATGATACTTATCTTTTGTACTCTGAGATATGGAAAAACATTTAGCATCCCTGAATACCCATCCAGGTTGCATGATATGAGGGAAGTCTCATGACATGGAGAGTACCCCATGGTTCTTAAATCCCATGTGGGTGGATGGTCTTCAGCTAAAAGAGTGAAACAGGACAGTGTGTGGAAACTGGCCCCTTCCTCCTTGAAGCCTTATGTGTGGGACTGTGAGGAAGACCTGTTAGTCCTTCAGTGCTCCATGCATCCATGATCAAGTCTATGATGACAGCAATTGGTTATATTAGCCTTTCTAGTGTGTTATATCAATCACTGGGGCACACCTGGTGATCCTTTCTTGTTCAGGTTATAAGAAAGCATAAATATTCTGAGTCATGACTGGCTTGGACATCTTGAATAGATATAACCAAGAAGAAGTATGGCTTATGTTATACATTTGGAGTTTGAGCCTAGTATATCAAATTTTTAAACATTTTTTCAAAACAGGAAAACTAGTACATGTGTATGGCTGGATCATCACTGGAGTATCAGACACCTTTGATTTTGATGTTGACTACATTGATAGGTAAGTGTGTGTGTGTTCCTACGTTCAACTAGTTACAAATATACTGGATCACTTCCTGGGACCAGCTTCCCTGAGAGCAATAAATTGTGAGCAGTTGGCACAGAATTGCTATTTTCCTCTTTGCAGTTTATGGTCCCTGGTGAGCTGGGCTTCAGCAAACTTTGTTAATGTAATTGCAACTGGTCGATTAAGTTGGTCCATTTATTTACTGACAACTAGTCACTCTGGGCTCTGTGCAGCTTGTGCTGTAATTGCATCTGTGGATTTTATCTTTCCATTCTTACCCTTTCTCCCCCTTGTTTCTCAGAAGGAAATACATCCTTTATAAAATGATGGGTTGGCCCCAAAGACCACTATAACTTCCCTGTTTGGTTGTTATCCATTTGTGCATTTAGAAATTCTCCATGTGTGATCAGAGGAAAATGTGGGAGAAGGTACTAAAAGCCATTGAGTTTTTAATGTTTTCTGGGAATGATGAGGATTGTTAACATGCCTTTCTTCACTGGAGACTTTTTAAATGGAAAGCGGCACCATAAATCACCTGTGCTGGGGAGAGTGGGGAGACAATGTAAGACCCAACAGCTTTATTCCGGTCTGCGCTCCCCACCAGTGAGGAGACGAAGGCCACGGCAGATCGATGCAACAAGCAAGAGGTTTATTATTTTTCCAGCTAGCTGGGGTCCAAGTGTCTGCTCGGCACAGCGGGTTTCAACAAGGACCCCGAGCACTCAAAGCCAAGGGTTTATATAGCATTTTCAAAGCACTTAACTCATAGTAATTTCCCACAGCTATACATTATGCTTGCAAGACATACATCCTGGGGTTAGGCAGGAGCAAGATAAGACCTCTCCTCAATGGTCAGGGTGGTTCTGCACGATAAGCTTGGTATGTAGGATTAACTGACCAAGGCCAGCTGACCAGGGGTCACCGCTGCCTGATTCTGGTGCTCATGATTGATTAAATTGTTTTTCAAGGCCTTACCCAGTTCCAGTTTTTCTTTCTACGTCACACACACTCAGAAAATGGCTTCTAGGCCCTTAAGATGGCTACGCTTATGCTAACCTATTTCCATTCTTACAACAAGAGGGAAGGTGTTGAAGTTGTGTTTGTGGGAAGCTCTAAGCAAGCATGATTATTCAACATATGAAGCAATTATAGTGAGGACTTATAAGGTAGAAGGAACATAGTCTTACTATATGCTCTGCTGAGTAGATTCTATTTACTGTGTCTAGACAGGGCGGGGATATCTTCCTCTGTTCTTTTCCATCTCTTTGATTCTGCCTAAGTTGAGAACGTGATCTGACTAGCCTCAGGATCTATATTTCTGGCGTTAAGTAATGGTCAATTTGGCTTGAAAGGAAATCACTCTGCCTGTGGAGGTAGAAGCCCCAAGCACCTCCTTGACAATATGCCACAGTCACAACTTGTCCCACCTCAGCCTTGGTCTGGGATACAGACTTTGGAAGGTTCAGAACAAAAGCATAAACTACCCACTAGGTCTGTGTGGACCTAATATGGCCAATGTAGAGACGATAAAGATGTTCCAGGGAAAGGGAAATGCTCCCTCTGCAGATGAAAGCCTGGGCTGGGGACCAGTCTTGGGACCCCTTACCTGCAGGCTGAGAATTGATTCAACATCTCAAGAGGCAGCCTTCAGCCACCTGCAGCAAAGCCCTATAGATTGGGAAGAACTTGTTTATAATAATGTATCCTGTGAGTTTGGCCAGGAATGTTTACTAAGAGCCTCATACAATTGTCTCATGTGTTTATTTTTTTTCCCATTTTTAAATCCAGCCCATTGATCTTGGAAGCTCAAGGAGACACATGGGTCACAGCCTGCTCTGTTGTGAACAGGCAGACAGGAAGCCAGTAAGTGTTTTTCTTGATACCCTATATGCTTTTAGGTTCTTTCAAATGGGTGTAATACTCCCCACCACACACACACACACATACACACACACACACACACACACACACTCAAACTCACCTATTTTGTAATATAAATCACCCCAAACTACTGATTGCTTTATTGTTAGATTTAATGGAAACAGCATTGTAACTGATTCAAAATGCAAACTGAAGTGGAGTGAAAACTTTCTTAAAAACAAATAGCTAATACTAAGTGCTTACCATAGCCAAGCTCTGCTGTAACATTTTTACATTTAAGTCACCCAGTAACCCTGCAAGCACATATAGTTATTAGTCTCACTTTACAGATGAGGAAACTGAGGCACAGAGAGGGTTAAGGAACTTGCCCAAGATTTCATAAAGACCAAGTGGCAGAGCTGGAATTTGAACCTGGGCTGACTAACCATCTTCCAAAGTTCATGCTCTTGACCACTAAGCAAAAATCACTAGTCAAAGAAAAAACAGAAATCTTCATTTTTATATTTATTTCTCTATTACAATGACACTTTTTAAAAGGAGTGCCTACATGCTTTCAGTTCAGGCAGCCATCATTTTGCTGGATTTTCACTTCACTCTTAACTGAGTGGATTAGCCTTCCTTTGAAGCCATCAGGAGAATTAGTTTCTAGTTTCCTAGGACTAGCATTTAGTAGGACCACATCTATTGTGTGGTTTCTTCCTGGTGTCTTCAGTGGGCTCAGGATTATCCTTTTTTTGGGTTCCCACTTGATAACAGTTTTTTTTTTTGATAAGGGTTTTGCTGCCCTTGTCATAAAACAGATTTTAGAAACTGAATGGAGGTTATATCCCTGGGTGAGTGGGAATAAAAATAGGAGCAAGTCAGATGTTGTCTCTCTGCTGTGTCTGACTGGTAGCATATGCATTGATGACAACCCTAGTTAGTCCTCCCCTAACTAAGCCTCTGCCCTAGTGAACTCATTAGACCTCAGCAACTAACAACTTTCTCTAGCTAATTTGCATTTTATTTTATTTTATTTTTTACTTTCCCGGTGAAAGTGTTAGAACTTCCGAACTGAGTTGTCTGGTAATTCTCACCTCAGGTTTTGTGGTTCTTTTGCCAGCTATCCCATACAGGAAGACCACGGTCTGGGGACTGTCCAGTGCCGCGTGGAAGGCAATCACATCGGTCTGTTCGAGAAGTAACACCCCCTAAAAGTCTTATCCATTTCTTTCTCTGTATCTAGAAAAATACTGTTTCAAAGATTGGTTCTCATGAGGATGACAATAACTGTCATTTGGTGAGAACTCCCTGAAAAATACTATATGAAGCAGCTTAAATATCAATTCATTTGATCTTCACAATAAATTGTTGTAGAATTATTGTCACTTGGCGGGTAAGAAAATTGAAGCTAGTAACCAGTGGAGCAGGATTTCTCATGCAGGGTCTTCGTCCAAGCCTGGGGTCTTACCCACTATGCTCTGTTATGTTTATCCTATTATTGCTGGAAATGAACATTGCAGACAGGTGATGCATGCATATTCCTGGATTAACGTCTGTTTCTTTTTGTTACAGGTTCCCAGAATGTTAGTTTTTCAGTATTTAACAAAGGAAAGTAAGTCACTGGTAGCAAGCAAATTAATTTTCATCTCATATTATCTATCTCTTTGTCATCTTGCTTGCTTTTAACCTTTTACAATGGAAAATTTCAAATATACATGAACAGAATAGTACAATGAAACTCCATGTACCTGCCTGATTTCCTTTACTTGGGTGAATGTGATTGTGTCATACACACTCATTTTAAGACAATATAAATGTTTCAGTGTGATTGTGGTGCAACATTTTGAGAACTATCTCTTAAGTAATCTCATAACACTATAAAATAGCGCATAGTTCCATAAAATGCGTTGTACCATTTCAGGAAATGTCTTCCTCAAGATGGAAGAGGCCTAAGTTTCACAGCACTTTGGATAGTAAATTGCGGTTCTGAATTTCTGCATGCCTCACTTCATATTCTGACACTATGTAATTTGTCAAGCATTTTCCTTTAAAGAGCTTTGTCAATTAATTTCATTGTGATAATGGTGACACATTATCTACAGCAACACAGGCCAAAGTATGGAGATTCTTTCTTCTCTCTTCCTCTCTAATTTAGGAAGGAATAAAACAAATATTTATTGAGTATCCACTCTAGGCCAGTTCCATAACAAGACCTTTCATATTCATTTCATTGAATGCATGTACTACCCTATGAAGTACTATTATACCCACACAATAATTTTCTAAATCAGAAAACAAACTTTGCCCCATTTGTTGTCATTTGCTGGTCATCAAAGGGACCTGGGACCCAACTGATCTAATAATCACTATAGGGTGGTCCATGATCTTCCTTTCAGTCACCCACTTAAAAAAATGTAATCTCAGATGCTGTTTTCATCTAAAACACAACTTTGTCTTTTTTGAAGGTCAATGGTACACAAGAATGCATGGCTGATCAGTGCTAAACAGGACCTGTTTCTGTACCAGACGTACTCAGGTACTGTTTCCCTCCACCTGTCCTCACTCGTTCCCTCACACCTCACTGAACACTGGACCCTCCTTCCCTTTATTCTGGCCATTTCTCATGACCATTAGCACCTGAAGTTGTCCCTACCCTCATAGATGACCCTCTGGTTTGGATGAGAATAAGGTGCTTATGTGAGTGTCCACATTAGGTGCAATATGCTGAACTATTGTGTTGCTATCTGAGGAGTAAACCTCCATACTAATGCTGAAAATTGTGAACTCAGTTCCATCACAGAAAGTTGACTACTTGAGAGGAGTACTTGGGTTCTAGGCTTGAATCTGATCACAAAGCCCCTGAAGGTGTCTGTGAGATAGCCTCAGATTCCAGAGGCACTTTTGCTAAAAGTGCAAGAAATTTTAAAGGGCAAATGCCAATCACTCTTCAGCTTGCCTCATTTGGCGAAAGCCAAATTCCAGTCTTTGCCTTAATTTTCTTTAAATGGTAAAACTAATCTCTTTTGGAGTAAGTTTGAAGAAGCGCCTGAGGTGATGGTGGCCCTTGTTGAGGGTTTTACCTACTATCTTAACGTTTATTTCATTCAAGTATGAGATTGGTCCTGACTGCATTATTTTACAGATGTAGGAACAGGCTTGGAAGAGAGGAACAGATGTAGGAAGAGAGGCAAAGTAACCTGCCGAAGGCCCCAGTGCCACAATGCAGATCTAATTCTAAATCTTATGCACATAACCAATATACTATGGGAAGTGCACTCTCCTTGCCCCCTACCCTAAGCTTCTTCCTGAGTCTGCGCATCAACATTGAACTCTGGCTGCCAGACAGGCTGGCAGGTATCTGTGATCACACAGCGATTTCATGTTTCCAGCACTAATATCTTGGGCTGAGGACTCTCAGGCCAGAACTTTTTCATAGCAGAGGAGGCTGTGTGGGGAGGGGATGTGGACAACTGCCAAGATCCCTGGGCTGAGCTTCTCAAGGGCTGGCATTCAATTTCCAGTTGAGTTTGGTTAAGTTCTTTTTCCTTTCTGAGCTGTAATGAAACATCTATAAACTGGACAAAGAGGCGTTTGTTCTTCTAACTCCAAAAGATATCGAGAGAAGTGGAGTAGGCGACTGTTGTGATTCATCCATGATTTTCTTCTCCTTTCATCTCCACATCCATCCAGTGACCAATTTCTGTCAATTTTACCTCCCAGATATTTCTCAAATATGATACATGATATATCCACTCTACCTCTACAAACACTGCCTTAATTCAGGACCCCACCATCTTGCCTAGCAAACTGCAGTAGTTTCTGGGGGCCCCCAATCTGCCCTTGGTCGCTTGCTGATCCATGCTTCACAGAGCCACCATTCTTTACAGCAAGCATACACCTGATGCCTCTCCCCTGCTTCCCGTCCTCTAATGGCCTTCCATCCCCTACAGGAAGTGGTACAAGTTTCTGACCCCCCCGGTCTGTTTCTCCAGCCCCATCGCTCTCCCTGCTGCTCCGGCAACACTTACATGTGCTATGCAGTTTCTTCTCCCCACACTCAGACTGTCACTTCCTTTAATGACCTTTCCCTCCTTTCTCCCCTTCACTCAGACAGCTCAGATTCATCCCTTAAGACTTAGCTTAGACGTCATTTCTAGAAATTTCTTTCTACCCCACCCCACTCCTAAACCTCTCCTCTGTATTTTCATATCCTCTCTCGAATTTCATTAGTCCAAGATGCAATAATTATACTTTTGTGTGCCTGCCTTTTATTACCATTCTGATCTCCTGAGGACAGGAACCATTTTGTATTCATGTTCCTGGCACCACATAGCAGGTGGAAAGGTTCAAATAAAATAGTAGGTTAAAAGAAGGCGGTCATTATTTTTAGTTGTGAATTCTGATATTTGAGGGTGAGGGATCAGTCTTTGCCCCTGTATATCTCTTCTGCTTTGTTTGATGGGCAAAAGCATTTTATAAGAAATGCCCTGACAAAAATCCATATTTTGAAGTGGTAACTGCTCATGGTTAGCTTCTTTGTATTTTCAGTTTATCAGAGAACAAACTCCTCTTTCCCCTTGAGGGAGTGAAACTTAGAACTGTCAAAGTTCGATCCCAGGAGAGGAAAGGATCAGAAAAAAGTTAAATTCTCGGGGGCTATTGGCATACTGTTGTAGGATTTTGAAGCAACCAGGAGGCACCATGAAAGCACTGGATATGTGGTGGTGCATGCAGCCCGGGGGACGAGCCTGCAGGCTGGGAGGTCGGCAAGGGTGCTGAGGATAGTGCGCTGTGTTCTTCAGCTCAGAGCTAATTGCAGACCCATCTGGTCGACTTGAGCCTTGCCTGGTGCTTCTGAAGATGATCCCTCCACGAAGCATAACCTACTGTTCTCGGACTTGTAAAGAAAGTACTTAAGTTGAGGAGACAGATTTCCTTAAGAAAGCATTATGTAAGGATTTTTGCTGATAACATGAGTGACTGATTTCCCCTTCCTTTCAAATATTGACCTTGTACGTGAGTCCTTTTCTTTTTAAAGGCATTTAAAAAAGATGAGTGCTAGAAAAAATACCAACCATTGCTGGTCTTAGAAAGTCAAAGTAAGAAATAAATTATTGATAGCTTCTATTATTATACTATTATCTGGGTCACATTCTGGTCTATATTCGGAAGCTTACTATTTTTTTTCTCTCTTGCAGAAATATTATCTGTGTTTCCAGAAGCCGGGAGCCTTGGGGGAGGAACAGACATCACAATTACAGGAGACTTCTTTGACAGTCCTGCCCAGGTGACCATTGCAGGTAACTAAGTGGAAATGGCTGAAAATTGTTCATAGTTTTAAATGTGGTAGGAGATGTTGTATCTCTTACGGCACAGAGTGCGGGGAAGCAATCTTTGTCTTTTCCAAATCATCATGCCCCCTGCTCTAAGGGATTTTACCTGGTTTGATAGGGACCAGGTCGGACTGTAGCTCTGCAAACATAACAGGAATAGGATGTTCTTATTCACAATTCGTGGGCAATTCCCTTGGGTGTCCACATTTTGGGAGTGAAGAACAGGGAAACTCCTGTTCTGTCTTTGCAAAGGTTTGGCCCTATAAAAGGCAACCCCTCTCCCCACCCTCCTGCCTTAGCCCTCGCCACATAGACAAGCTGGAGTAGGCAGGCATTTACTATGCAGATTCTTCTGGAATGCCCCCTTGACAACCCCTCTTGTGGCACCTGCCTAGACCTTTTGCTCTGCCAGTTGGGATTGTTCTCTAGTTGGTGACACCAAGGATGCTGGAAAATGTCCTCACACTCTCAGGTCACACGTGCCCTCCCCAGCTCGGCGGAGTGGTTCCTCACGTGCTCAGTGCATGGCATGGCATTGCTTTCTTTCATTTTACTACAAGCTGCCCTAAGTCCTAGTGCTCTGCATTCTCTCTTTCCTGGCTCCGTTCAGTTGGGGTGACATCTTTTGCTCTATTATCCACATCCAGCCCTTCGCCTTAGAACAGGAGTCTGCCTGCTTCAGGGTGGTGCTCGGGCCCTGCTATCACATCTATATAACATGCCAATGCCTGCCTCTATATCTCCCTAATTTAAAAATTCTCCTCAGGCATTCCATGTGATATTAGACACGTGTCTCCCAGGAAGATCGAGTGCACCACTAGGCCCCCAGGAAAGGGTGCGAGGCTCACTGCTCCTCAGGCAGGTAAGGAGATCGCCGTGGCGGCCCAGTGACCTCTGGTTACATTTTTAACCATGAAGGGCTGTGAAGTAGAAATGAAGGTGTGTGAATTGTGTCTCAGCTCTTTGATGGGTGCCTTAGTGAGCCTTTCATTCTGGGGAGGCTCTTAGCTTTCTTCAGATGCTTAGCGATACTCTGCACCTCTAGCCCCAGCCAGATGAATGGCCAGGGTGTTCAGAGACCATGGTCCAGAAAGCAAACTGCAGGACATTGTTACAGCTGCCGGTGGAGACCCTGAGCTGCCTCCCTCTACACTACAGGTCAGCTGCATGCCTGTGGCTGAGAAGATAGGAGCATCAGAACATGCTTGTCCTTGCTCATAACAACAGCATTAGGCAAGGCTGGAGAGGGGGCAAATGGGGTGCATTAAACACCCCTTTTTCTTCCCTGGGAGCAGCTGTGGTGCTACTTTGAAAAGTAGGGATGTACTGGGATGTTGCTACCAGTTTATGTCTGAAGTGGGCAGAAATGGAGGAGGCATGGTGGCAGGCTCCACCTGTCCATCTCTGTTTGCAGCTTCCACCTCAAGGCTGTAAGTTAAAAAAAAGCACACCACTGGAGCACTTCTCTGGTGAGCATTCGAATGGAAAACCCAAGTGTAGTTAGGGATTAAGGGCAGTTCGTGTGTTACACAGTCTGGAACCATAGGTGGTGTCTGTATTCCTTACCTGCCCCATGAGGGGCCGACGTCATGCTTAAACTGCAGGCAGTGCGCTCAACTCCAGAAGCTCAGCTCTTACTAGCAAAGTACCCCAGCAGGGGAGAAACCTTTCTAAAGAAAGGCCATTCAGGTGTGAAAACACATGCAAAGCTTTGGTTTAAGCATTTTCCAGGTCCCAAATCAGCAGTTTTTACTCAAGAAAACCTCCCACCCAAGTAAACAAAACTAGTAAAGCAAGCGATGGAGAGAATTGTGTGTTTCCTGTGTCAGGAAGCAGAAGGCTGGCCCCTCCCTGAGCGGTTCCCACTTGAATTACTTGGATAATGATGGGACAATTTCCTGAACGCAGCTGGTTTTGAGAGTTCATAATATCTTTTACTAAGACCTTCTGAGGTTTCTTTTATGGGAGTAGGGCAAATTACGAGGTTAAGCAGTGGTTCTCAATGGTCCTCAGGGGGCATTTAGCAAAGTTTGGTGGTTACAACTGGGATGGTGGTTGTGGGGCTACTGGCCTTCCATGGGTAGGGGTCAAGGGGGCTTCTGAACATCCTTCAATGCACAGCAAAGCCTCTACAGCAGAGTTATCGTGATCCAACCCCAAATGCCAATAGTGCTAAGGATGAGAAACCTTAAGTCATATATTAAAATACAGTTTTATTTTTCTATTTATTTCTTAACTATCTCCCCTTTTTAGGGTTTAATGAGGAGCAACAGTATTAATTTGAAATAATAATAATCACCCTAGCTATCCTTTATTGAGTACTTACTATATTTCAGTGTTTTTGTGTATATATTTCAAGATCCCTTAGTCTTTAATTCCCCAGAATTGTTAAATTGACTTAATCTCCACCCCCTAAACTTTATTGAGATACAATTTACCTATAACTCAAGCTCCCTAAATCTTTAGTGCATGGTCTCTGTTCTGTATTTGCCCCATTTTGGTGCATGAGAAAATGAAGGCATTAAGTGATTTGTTCAAAGCTACATGTCTAGTAAGTGGCAGAGCTGGAATCTTAACTTAGGAATGTCTGATTCCAGAGCTTTCCCCCTAAAACTCAGTATCCAACAGTGATGGCCCATGTGCCTTTGGTATCAGGGTTTGCTCCGAAAAAAAAAATTAATTAATAATGTAGCATTATTGAAAATGCCATGTAACAGGAGCACGCTACATAATTTGTTGTTAGTGTGGGTCCACAAATTGAGGCCAGGATGTGAAAAATTTAAGCATTGTCAATTTTCTGGGATAAAGGATCTTAGGGAATAGAATTCCCAGGCTGAACTGGACCTTGAAAGATACGGAAGTCTGCTCCTGAGCAAGTCACAAGTCCACAGCACACTATCCCGGCTTACTAAACCACAACACTTGTTTGCTTTCACATTTTCTGTAGGGCTGGGTTCTCTTCTCCTGGCACTCCCATTAAAAAGGCCTCCCCCTCTTCTCCGATCTTCTGAAAATACTTCCCCTTACTGTTTCTTATCAAGTCCTCATCCCAAGAGGCCAAATCCAACACTATGCAGTATTTTCTGCTTTTTAGAACATTCGTACTATCCGTAGAGCCTCTCACATGCCTCCATGTGGGTCTCAGCTGACTCACCTTTCTCGATAGTGCCTGGATCACCTTCACTCTGTTGTCTGAAGTAAAAGAGCTCCCTAATTTGGGGAGGAATGCCCTCTGATGTTTATGAGGTATATGCATCTTACAGGTAACCGCGGGCTTCTTTTTGAAGTTGGAGATGCTGCTGAGGGCTTGGACCTGACTGAGGCCACCCCTGGGTATAGATGGCAGATTGTCCCTAATGCCAGTTCTCCATCTGGATTTTGGTCAGTGGAAGGGCAACCTTTCAGGTATGTTGTGGGGGCAGGCAGGTCCATATCAAAAGCGTCTTTGCAAGCCTGGGTGAGGCCAGGAGACAGACAAGCAAGCAGTGAGATTTCCAGGGGAAAATTTATAGCAGACACCCATTCAACAATGCCAGACTGTGTGGGTCATGCATGTGTACCACAGTCCCTTAATAGATGCACATTCAATTTTGATCAATAATAAAATTTATATTTTATACAACTTGGTTTATAATCTGCTTTGGAGATGACTGCTAATTGGAACATTGAACTGAGTAGGCCAAGAGACTTGGTAGAAAGTAGGGTGAAATTTACTGGAGGTATGTGGGTAAGAGGTTGATGCCAAAGAAAGATGCAAGAATTTGCCCTTCAGTCAGATGAGGGAGCAAAGACTGGGCAGCAAGCAATTCTATTGGAATTACCACCCAGCACTGAAAGTCAACCCGACGGCTGGTATGTAGCCTGAAAAGCTATTCTGGGCTCTGTGGGACACTGTCTTCTGTAGTAGTGATGCCAATGTGATTACGGTTTTCCTGTCAGTGTTGTTTTGGGTCTTTTGAATCCCTTCAAGACTGTGGCCAAAATTTCTAGTTTTCTAAAAGGGGCTTAAAAATATAAGAAGTTGGAATTGTTGCAAAGTTGAAAATTGCTTAGATACATGGATTTTAGTGTGCTCTTAGGGTATAGGTAGACGGATGGATCCTTCACTGTGTGACGGGTCTCTTCTCCTTTTAAAACTTTTCTCATAGAGGTTGGTCATGACCTCTGAGGGTGGATTCCAGCCATGCTGTGACCTCCTCCAAGGATTTGGCCATTTAAATTTCAATTCGGTTGTGGAATGAAAAGCTTTATTCTCTGTTCAGGGGATTTAAGATATCAAAGAAGCAAAGTATGGAAGGAAATCTGTGAACAGAATATTCTCCTGGAACCCTTAACTAACTAGGTATTGAAATACCAATATATATGCTTTTAAAGTGGCAATAATTTGTGGTTCCTTGTGGCACCTAATGATGCATCTTTTATCACAGTGTTTGAGGACCATCCATAATGTTCAAAGGAAATCCTTGCAGCTACATTCAGCGTGTTTGGGAGTATTAGGAGGGAGTCAGGCAACATCAGAAGATAAGAGAACATTTGACTGTACAGTATGACCTGTAGCATATGTCTCTGTAACTGTCATTTTGAGGAACCACAAACCAGACTGTAACCCTTTCTATTCTTTCTGTCATTCATTTCTTTAAAATTCAAAAATTTTAAATTAAGACATTAGAATATTTATTGATTCAATGATAAGTTAATTATTATATTGATGGACCTTTAAATAGTTATTTTCAATACTAAGTTCAGAAAATATTCTGGGTATTTATTGAGGTAGCCTAATAATTTTCTTAACCCATATCTGTCTCTAATCCCAGATTACTAGAATGTATCTTAAACAATAAAAAAGGACTTATTTTTAAAATGTTTCATAAAATTTCTCACAATCTTCTTAAAAGTTGAGGTTATATCTTTTCATTTGAAGTTGCTGACATGTTCAATTGACTTTTCTCTGAGTACTATAATATTGTTAATTGCAAACATGCTCTCTGTAAGTGCTCAAGTATCTGGTAAGCTCAGAGCACATTCTTTGTGTGTGTGTGTGAAATTTCATTTAGTTAGGGACTCCCAAACAATGAAAAACTATTGACTGACTGCCTAATCCAACCAGCACTGTGTTCAGTATTGCAAAGGTTAGAAAGTCTAGGACAAGGTCATTATTGTCAAGGAGTAACCAGCTTTGTCATACGCACGTGTAGCCATAACACGAGGCATGACAGCATGTGCTGAGACTCCTCAGGGTATCTGGGCAGGTTTCCTGATCTTAGTTGGTTCTACTGATACACAATTCAGTTATTACTGTTGCTTCCAGAAAAAATTACTTCATGAGATCCAAGAGCTCAAGAAACATTTGTAGATCTAGTTTGCAGATAAGGAACTGATAGGAAAGTGGGTTGTCTGCTACTGTGCATTTACCAAGTGACAGAATGACACTCTGAATTTTCCTAATTTCCAGAAGGGCACCTATGCCACATTATGATGTGCAGCCTTCTTTACCTGTAGGAATAGGGTATTTTAAAGAGGACATGCCAGTCTCGTGAAGCCTCACATACACACCTGTTTCTATGAGGTTACTGTCTGCCACAGGGAGAGGAAACGGAGAGGAGCTTCTCTTAGTGTTATTTGGGGCCATTTCAGGGTTATCACTTTAACTCCTCTTCATAAAGAACCACAAACTGTTGTTCAGAAGTCAAGTAAGATTACTTGGCATGAACCATATTCACTAGTTTATGATTATCCCTGTATTCCTATAGCTACACACATGCCCACATATAATATAGCTGATGTTTGATGTTAGCCAGGGGCGTGAACTAATGTAGATTTTGAACTACAAATGTGTTGGAGTAGGAGACAAGGAAGAGGGGTTCTAGACCACCTCAGAGCAAACTGGGATGAGTGATCTCTATTCCTGATAATAAGGATACTATTTACAATTGGCTGAGTTCTTACCATGGGCCAGGCCCTCCACTGGCTGTGTTACCGGTAAGTTTCTCGGCAAAGCCTCTGACAGCCAGGTGTTGTGGCTACAATTTTTCCCAAGACAACATGACTTTAAGGGGCGTTTTAGCCAGTGTAGACAGAGGGGCTGAGCTGTTGAGATGAGGCAGGCGCCACAAGGAAGAGCTGTTTCCAGAATACTCTGGTCAGTCATGGGCACATGTGTCGGCTGTTTCCTCCTCATGAAGAAAAGTGAAGGGCAACCATTTTTGGGGTCAGTGATTTGGGCCTTGCTTGCTCTCACTTCTCTGTGTTTTTCTGCCTTACAGTGCACGGCTCAGTGGCTTCTTTGTGGCCCCAGAGACAAACAATTACACTTTCTGGATCCAGGCTGACAGCCAAGCTACCCTTTATTTCAGTCGGTCAGAGGACCCAAGGGCCAAGGTATTCGTTCACCTTCTTCTCCTTTTCCTTTTTCTTGTCCCCCATCCTTCACTCCTGGAAAAAAAAAAGTGAAGTTCTCATGTTCTACTAATAGTTGGAGCATTGCCATTAAGCAACCAGGGATTTAAAATTTTTTGTGGGGGGCTTATTAAAAAATTAAAAAAAAATTAATATGATTTTAACTATTGAAAAAGAAGTTGGCTGAATGTGTTTGCATGCTTACTGAACACTTACTGTAAGCCACATATTATGCTACATCCTGTATATTCCTTGACTAATCTTTACAGTGTCTCTGTGAGTTATGCATATTATGTCCATTTTCCAGATAAGGAAACTGAGGCTCAGAAGGATTGCATGGCCAATCCAGGGCCACTTGGTTAATGAGAGACATATTTAGCATTTAATCCAATTTGTCTGACTCCAAAACTTGTGTCTCTTCCATTAATTTTGAGTAGAGATGTAGCTGATCTTAGGTAGGAATTTCCCAATCAGCTTTGAAAGATCAGAAGAGGCACTTTTAACAATCAGCCAAAATTTACTAGTGCCCTTGGGGAAAAACTACAATATATTTTTTCCCAAATTAGTAGTATGCTTCTATAAAACTCCTTTGCTAGAGAAACAGCATGGATTTTGATGTGGTTGCCATTCTAGGTTTCTCAAAGGGCTTTCACTGCCTTGTCTACAACATCACGTAAGACTAGAGTTTCAGGCTGGTTGTTTCTGCTCTGAACTTGGCCCATCGGCCTCATGTGAATACTGTTTAACTGAGGAAGAGAGAGAGAGAGAGAAGCATAAACAACCACAGGCCCTAGGGTGACTGGGCTGACTTGCTGGAACGGCACCCGTCCAAAAATCCTTGGTTAGCAGCCGTCCAGACACTTGCTGATTGAGAAGGATGCCCAGAGGCTTCGTGGAGTTGATTGTGGTATGTTTATGGGGGCTCAGGTGAAGGTGGCCTCCCTCAGGGTGGGCACTGCTGACTGGTTCGACTCCTGGGAGCAGAATGGGAATGAGGGGACCTGGCAACAGAAGACGCCCAAGTTGGAGCTGGCTGGCGGAGCCAGGTACTACCTGCAAGCAGAGCACCGCGGGAGAGCCCCCAGCGGGGGGATGAGAATCGGTGTCCAGATCCACAGCACCTGGCTGAATCCTGACGTGGTCAGCACCTACCTCCGGGAGAAGCATCAGATCCGAATCCGTGCCCAGAGGCTTCCAGAAATCCAGGTCTGAGTCTCTTCCCTGTCCCATGGGGTGGATTCTGAAAGGAACATAGTCTTGAGTGGAAGGATCACTAGCTGGGAGTCAGGAGACTAAGAGAGGATATCTACCCAATAGGGTTGTGAGGACATTAAAAAAAAAAGTGAAGTCTTATTATTGAGATACCTTTATTCATGGATTTAGTTTTAGAAATTTAAGTTCCAGGTAACTTTTCTTTTAGAAACGTGTTTCCCAGAGTAGAGCTAAGGTCCTCTGAACATCCCCCACCCCCATGTATATACACATGTGAGTGTACACACACACACACACACACATACACACACACACACACACACACAAGAGACTCCACAGCTTTTTGACCTATTCAGGCCCTGTTCCTCATATAGTATTTTCAAAGCCTGCTTTGTGAAGGTCAAGGCCTTTGGGTCTCCCAGCTATGCTCCACACTTTTGTCAGTACTTTTTGTTGTTGCCTTTTTGGTGTGCGAGGGTGAATCAATATAGACTCCACTTTTAAACCTGACAGGCTAATTGTAAAATATGTACACAAATAACCATAGAACAAGGTACAAAGTAACAAGGTACATAAGAGGTTAAAAATACCAAGTGACGGACATGATCGGTCTAACTCAATAAAAAAGTTTCATGTGCCTGGCAGGGAATGTATTGGAAGCAAAACAGAAATCCAGTGAGCCTCTTGGATGCTGTGTGGCTGCTCCTTCCTTTCAGGTCCCCGCAGGAGAGAGTATTTGGTGACAAGGGCTGAAAGTGGGCCATTCAAGGGCAACCCTCTAAAGAACAGGAGGAGGCACACAGATGAATAGGGAAGTAGATACGTGCATTTATTCCAAGATACGTGCATTAGGTGGTGATGCTTGTGTTCTCCAGGTATTTCTAGAAGTTAGTGAGTTTTAAAAAATGAAAATTATAATAAGAAGGAAATAGCAAGCTGAGGAGGTATGTCCTGTGTGCCTAGATTCTCTCTGGCTTAACTAGCTCAGGTCGCTTAGCTCTGTCGCTCTTGAATATTTTAGTTGCTGACTGTGTCTGGCGGAGGGAACTTCTTTCTTACGTGGGACAACGTCTCTAGCCAGCCAATTCCTGCCAATGCTACAGCCCATCAGGTGGGAGCCTTCTTCAAATATGAGAGGTGGGAGAACTAAGGTGGGGGGGCCTTATGCCCACAGTGTGGTATGAACTCCTGGTAGTTTTTCTTTTTAACAGATTCAAACAGCCATTGAGGAGTTACTTGCAGTCAAATGCAGACTGGAACCCCTTTCGGCTAACATCCTGCTCCGGCTTGGGTTTGAACAAGGTGCTTGTCCTTGGCTTGACGAACTCTCATGCTCTTCTCCATCATTGTCTTCTCTCTCTATTTTCTTTTTTCCTCTGTAAAATGGGAACAAACTTCGTTTCCTTTCCAAGGTACTAACTGAGTCAAAGAATATATGAAAACTGGATTTGGGCACTAAGTGGCCAAGGGAGTGACTCTCTGGTTGGGAGGGAGCTGTGTGGTATGGGTATCTGAGAAAGAAAAGGTCTCAGTGCTGCCAGGGGGAGCAAGGTGCTCCCCAGTACCTTCCGTGCACACAGGGGGAAAAGGGCAGATGACAGAGGTGAGAAGCAGCAAAGCAGGAAAAATCTCATGTCATTCAAACTGCGTAGAAGAGAAGGAATTCTTACGTGCGATAGTAGCTTTACTAAAATCTAAAAATGTGAGCCTGTGTTTTTACAATACTAAGGGGAACTAAATTACAGTTGACACCCCTTGTCTCTCTGCTTCTCAACACTTTTTGGTGCCATGGTACACGTAGAAAACGGAAAGAGATTTTTGGTGCTCTAGGGCAGACTGAGTGGGATTCTCACAACGGATCCTTCAAGCTGGGGGCTGCTGGCTGTTCCAAGCCCTGCCCAGCTCACCCAAGGGCTGAAGGGCTAATGTCATGGTGAACTCATAACCTGCACCCCCACACATGCTCGGAAACTCTGTCTCCCTGAACATCTGTGCCTTTCTTCCTATTTTATCTGAAATGCATCCAGGCCTAGAAGGTTCCGGCTCTGAGGGGGAGCTCACCAGTGGGACGGAGCCCTTCTGTGGAAGGTTCAGCCTCCGTCAGCCTCGACAGCTTGTCCTGACACCCCCGGCTGCCCAGGAGGGCTTTTGGCTAGACCAGAACACCCACGTGAGTAGCAGGCAGCCCTTGTGTTTTCAGGCCAGGTGGGTAGGGACGGACTGGTATTGTTCTCTGGGGTTGAGATGGAAAAAACAGAACCGCAGAGGAGTGACTGCTGTGATTTGCCCACGGCGTTTTGTGCTGAGGTTCCGGGACTGTTTTTACTGCTGTTTCAGTGTGAACAGGTACCTCCAGTTCTCCATTAGCTGTTACAAGGACATGGCTTTGTGAGACTCTGAAAGTTTTTTTATATGCTCTAGTATTTTCTAGGTGGGAATGCAGACTCTATGGTCAGACCATCTGCTTTTGAATCCTGACTGTACACCCTGTGTGTTCTCAGGGTCTTCCCTTAGTTTAACCAGCAGTAAAATGGGTAATAATGTGGTCTCGAATTGTGGTGAGGTTTAAATGAGATAATCTAGTAAAGTGCTTGTGCAGTGGATAGAACTCAGTTAAGGCTCGTGATTGTTATTTATTATAGTTTTTGTTATTATTGATGAATTGACTGGCACATTTCTGAAATACCTATCTTATCCTTTGTGTTGAAAGCTCATCCATCCTTCATAAAAGAGTGCAGCTCGTTTGCTCTTTGGGAGCCAGAGTGAGCCTTACTGGGCTGGTGGAGCTCCTGGCAATGTTTTCAAATCCTTTGCTAGTTGAATTGCAGGGGGAGAGGGACTAAATGGTTCTGATCCAGGCACCGCCCCTCTTCTAGCCTTAAAGCAGAGGCTCCCAGCTGGGCAGATTTTGCTCCCTCGGGAACAGTTGGTAATGGATAGAGAGATTTTTGGTTGTCACAACTGGGGCATCCAGTGGGTAGGTTCCAGAGGTGTTGCTAAACACCCTACAGTGTGTGGGACAGCCTCTCACAGAAAAGAAGTACCTAGTTCCAAATGTCTGTACTATAGAAGCTGAAAAATCTTGTGTAGTACAGACATTTAAAGTCTTCTTGTGACAATTTTCTTTAGGAGTTAAAAACTAAGGATGCTAGAGAGTTAGAGTTAAGGAACTGAGGCTCAGAGAAGTTAAGTGACTTGCTCAGGGTGCACAGGCAACTGCGTCAGAACAAGGATTTTCTGGTTAAGATACTCTAAATCCTCACTGCCACGCACAGTGGCAGGCATTTAATGACTCTATTGAATAAATAGCGATTTACTTTAAACTACTTGCCTTTCCACCTAGACAGGAAAGCTCCAGCAGGATAAGAACGGGGCTGGCTGTATCCCACGGCGTGAGGAAGGGTTCTCGGCAGGTGGACCCTCCTCACCACATTTCATTTGAATGGCTGCTTCCTGCACTAATAAAGCTAAAGCACTTATCTGTTGTCCATAGTTGTGCATTGCATTCAAAGGCCACATGAATAGTATCTTGAGGGTGACTGTGACCTTCACAATCAACTTTCAAGACATCTTTAAGAAGAACATCACCTGTGACTGGAGTCTCATGGGGACCAGTCCAGACAGGTAGCTAATCTGTGGGGAGCTGTGGTGGGAACTGTGCCTGCTGTGACAATTAGCTTTCTTGGGACACAGTGGCCTGCCCGGGGTACTAATGGTCTTGTACTTGGGCTTTGGATACTAACTCGGGGCTCCAGACCTGTTTGATTCAACAATGAAATTTGATTTAAGAGTGTTAGTTGTTAGGAATATAATACTTCCTGGAGAGGCGTATGACATTCTCGGAGGATAGGAGTAGAGAACATCTTATTTGGAAGAGATTTTAGAGAACATTCCTTGACATTACAGATGAGAAAAATTGGGGCCCAGAGAATTTGTGATTCACCAAAATGCATTCCATGAATGAACAAAGACTGGAATAAAACCCAGGTGTTTCAATGTCTTGATTCAGTGTTCTGGCCACATCTCTCTTGCGAGTGGTTTTCAACCTAAATGAGTCTGGTAATGTCCAGGAGTATTAATCTTCCCTGTGGTTAGAGCCTAAACTACGATCTGCTTAAAACACACAATTATTGTGTAATTTGAAAATGCTGCTCACACTGAGGGTCATGAATGAACGATTGCCTCACGACATGACTCACTAGTGTGCTATCACAAGCTGACCTCAGCCTGTCTTGCATCGTGCACGGAATGTCTGTATCCATGGCATGCAATACTGTCTGGGTGTAGAGTTTCTTGGGGTCTCTCTGCCGGGTGCACAGTCCTCAGGTCCACAGGTCTGAGAAACAGGGCTCTCATGGCAGAGGGCTGCAGGTGCACGTGGGGAGGCCCATTTCTGCTCTGGGCTTTTCTTTCAGCTGGCAGTTCACTTGCATTGCCCTCTGGAAGACTTGTGTGCACCGCTCTGCTTATCGCCAGCCGCCTCTGGGAAACTCCCCCATCCTAGTTCACCGGATCGACCTCATCCCTCAGTCTCCTGAGACGGGCATGTTCTATGTGGATGAAATTATTATTGCTGACACAAATATAACGGGTGAGCACCAAAGCCATTCTCCTTAAAGGGCCTGTCAAATGCAGACTTCCAACTTTTCTGCTAGGCATCTTTTCCTTTACTGGAGAGGGACTGGGTGATTCCCTCGCTTGCCTGCCTTGGTTCTAGAAAGAGGATGGGTTTGGATTGGTGCCCTTGGTCCCTACATCTTTCTAGCTGGTTCCTCTTTTCCACTGTTTATCCAGTGCTTGGTCTTGCTTCTGAGGCCTGTGCTTTTACCCCTTTTACCCTTCTTGCTGAGAAGCCTTGGTTTGCTCACTGTAAAATGGACATCGTGAGGACCCCACCTCATTGGATTACTGCAAAGCCTGAATAAAGTCTGACATAAGGCACGCACCACAGGTCTTGATCATAGCAAGTGCTCAATAAAGATGAGCAACTATTATGGCTAGCAGTGTCATTATTATCGTTAGGCCAGAAGGATTTCTCCACCTCTCTGTAGTTAATATCTGTCCCACACAGTGGTGGAAGGAACACAGCAGTACCTGGCCCTGGACATGGGCTAAAGGGATGAATCACGACGCTGAAGAAGTCTCAGCAAGAGTTACAGGGTCACCATATCCTCTCAAGAATGGGCTTGTCCTGCTTTTTCTCATCCACATTCCTCCCACTCATCATTGAGAGCCCAGGTCTGACCGTCTCCTCCGTGAAGTTTTCCTTGACCTCCCTGAGGCACGGAGTGGATTTGCCTGTCCCCAAGTGTTCGGGGACAAAGAGCTCGTCACGGGTCCTCTCAGGCCAGCCGCGTGTGCTGTGCCCCCCCGGGAACGAGAGGCCCAGGACCAGGAGAGCACGGTGCTGTTTGCTCCCAGGGCCGCTGGGCTTCCGACTTGTGTTCAGTTTCCCTTTTCCACCAAATCCCTTGTGACTTTGGGGCTCAGCTTACCTGCTTTTCTTAGATTTTTCTCAGTCTCACCGAGGAGAAAAGGCTGAGAGAGTCACATATTTTGATTTAGAAAATGTGCCGCTTTTCAGTCTTTTGCCAGAAATATCAGAGCTGAGGGCAGGACAGGTTGTGGGTGGAAGGCCAGGGGTCTTGCTCTCAGCCCTGAATGAGGTCCTCCTTGCTTATTAAAATCCCATCCCTTATTGTTTCAGTGGTTTAAGTGTTTTGGGGGCAACTGGGGTCAGACTGGACCACGGATTATTTCAAACCCTGTTTGTGTGGTCATATGGTGTCCTGGGGTGAACACCTGAACTTCTGGGGGTCCAAGACAACTTGATGGGGCCTTTGCTGACCTCCAATTACTGTCTACACTCCCAAAGGGGCTCAGCATTTTCCACACTTGAGCCCACTGATTGGGAAACCCCGGGACTGGATAACAGGTGCTGTTTCCTCTGCTTCTCTCCAAACCCTCAAAGCCTAGGGTCCAGAGTGCATTTCCACTGCCCCCACCTTTCTGCCACCAAATGCTCAGTATGTGGGACCATCTAGGGGTGAGGTGAAGAGGGAGGCAGGGAGGTAGAGGACAGAGACAAGAAAAAAATCTGGGGGAGGCTGGGTTAAACCAGCTGATCCCCACTTTTCCTGGCAAGACCTTTGCTTTGAGGGTGACTTAATGGAAACCTAAACTCTACGAAACTGGGCTCAACTTTCATAGCTAATTGTCTGATATTACCCAATGATTTAGCGCTTTATATTCTCACTTCTAATGTCCTCTGGAAGTTCCTTTTATCTCTAGTGGTACTTACCATTTGTTTCTCCTTTAGTTCTCAGAACCCCGTGAATTGGTTCTGTTGTCCCCACTCTAGCTAGATGAGGAAGCCAAAGCTAGGAGGGGTTGAGTACCTTGCCCCAAATCATACAGCTGGAGCCTGGAACCCAGAGATCGTTACACCAGAGCCAAGCCTTCAATACCTCTGTATCTAGCTGAGGAAATAAACATTTGTAGAGCACCTACTCTGTGCCTGGTGTGCTAAGCATTGGACATGCAAAGATGTTGCCTTCAACTGTTTACTGTCTTGATTGTAAAATCATGAGGAGGAAGGTGTCTGTACACAGGAGAAAAGGATATTAAAAGAGTTTGTGTTGGTCATTTAAAATCTGCCATCTCGCTAAACTCTCACTGCAATGCATATTGATACATGCCATGATTCCCACTTTGCAAATAAGGTGAACCTTAAAGAAATGATGTTGATCAGTCCATTGTCTACCCAAAGGATGTAGAGAATCAGGGTTTGGATGGTGGTCTGTCTTAAAGCTAGTACTTTTTCTGCACACGTGCTGACTCCATGCCATGGCTAAATACTCAGGTGCCCCCAGGACCCGCCTTGTGTGCTCAGGGTCCCTAAGCAGCATCAGCTGTGCATTCTCAGAGTTGCCAGGGGCCCTGGGAAGGAAAGGAGGGATGGACAGCAGTTTGCATTGCAATAGATTATCTGGGAGGGTGCCTCCGATGGCATGTGGCTGGCTTGGGGCTTGTTAAACTTTGCTATGGAATTAGTCTTCAGCTCCTGAGCCATGCCCTTGTATGTTCCTTCATGCCCTTGCATGTTCCTTCATGTCCTTGTATGTTCCTATTCAGTATCCTCTGCCTCTTCTCCTTTTGCTTTTCATGGCAGGAGATAGGTAGGAATCTGCTTTAAGACAGAAGTAACTCAGCATCTCCAGTCGGTATTTTCCACACAGCAGGTTACTTGTACTTCCACACAGCTGAGTTACTCGGTACTAATGCGATCACTGTTCTTTAGTTTCTCAAGCTGATTCTGGAACAGCTCGCCCAGGAGGGAATCTGGTGGAATGGCTGTCTGTGGTGGGATCCCCTCCGGCCTACAATGTGACCTCGTGGTTGGCGGGGTGTGGCCTGGCACTCCCACTCATCGCTGCAAGGTAGAGAGTGGGCTTTGCTCACCTGTCCCTCCGTAGGGTGCTAGCTGGCCTTTGGGGACACAGAGGTGGGACTTGTATCAGGAAAATCTGCCTGTCTTGGTGCTGAAAGCAACGGTGCTCAAACTTAAGAATGCAGCATCAGATTCACCAGGAGGTCCTGTTGAAACACACACTGTGGGGCCCTAACCAAACCATCTCTAATTCAGTAGATTTGGGGCCAGGCCTGAGAATTTGCACTTATAATGGCATCCAGGCAATGCTGATTTTACTGGTCTAGTGAATTTATTTAAAAGATGTTATATTTCTATGCTGTTCAGGGCCTCCCATTACCACTGTGTTCTGTTTGCCTTCCTCATTTCATTCCTCCATGTAAGCTTAATGGACTTCTTTGAGGTGAAATGAAAGGAACCAAACAACTGTTTCTAAGAACTCACCACCAGATGGCACTAGCGCCCCATAAGCGATGCTTCTTAATGGTCCCGCCTTCGCCACAGTTCACAAAGCAGTAACTAAGGATCAGGTTCCCCCTGGAACACATATATGTTCTAGTTTGTTTTTTTAATTTTCACTTAAACCCAAGTAGAATAAAAGAATTGAGATGCTCTGCCTTTAAAATTTCTTCCCCCTCCTGCCTATCTCTTTCTAACATTTCAAAAGGAGTTCATACTTACACTATGCTTGGGATGGTGTATTGAAGGCAGGTGCAGAAAGCTTAAATATCTGCTCCACTTTCTTTAACTTAGTGTTCCATGGTCTTCTGAACAGGAAAGATGTGTAAACCATCAATAGAATGGACTGAAAGAGCTTCAGTGGTGGAGAGGGAGCCTGCTGTATTAGCAACCAGCCTGCAAATCCTGTGTTCCAAATGCCAAAGTTATGAACTCAGAAATGGTACAGGCTAATTTATGTTGCTCTACAGCTCCATGCTTTGAGTGGTCCTGACAGCCTTCCTTGCTGAGATTTCCTCGTGTCTTTTAGCTCCTTCTACAAGTCTCCAGCCTAAGCCAGACAGCACCCCCTGAGACAGGAGTCTTCTTAATTCATCCCCGAATGCAGATACTAGCATGTTGACTATTTCTGTGTGGTATGTGTGTATATCAATAATGTAGTACTTAAATTATATTATTGATAGAAATCATATACATTCATTCTTATGTATGTATACATCTACTTTTTAAACCTCAAATTGGGACTATATGTTACATGCTACATTTGAAACATGTCATTTTCATCTAACAGTATATATTTAATATCTCCCCATTTTGGTGATGGGGAACTGTAAGATTTTTTCTACAGTATGATTTTG